GGATCGCCTATAGAATGCAACATAGGAGAGCTCCCACAGTATTGTAGAGACAATTGCATGTAGTTCACCAAGCAGATTGTCACTGTCTTCTGATAGGTTGGATTAAAAGATGGTTGAACAAAACCCTCCTAATAAATTTGACTAGTCTTACTGAAACCTTTTTAACTTCCCTTGGCTTTCCTCAGATAATCTGCCCAAGCAGGCTTCTACACAAAATTCACTTGGGAGTTTTGCTTTAAGGAAAAATCTGGCTGGGACAGAATAGGGAGTAGTTCGGTGCCCTGCACTCTCATGCAGCCTGAAAGAGATTGACTCAGGTTACATCTACTAGAATGAAGGTGCTGATATGTTGGGTGACCTTCATAGACCAAATTTCCTGCTGCTTCCGGTAGAGATGAGGGATAAATTCATTTCAGTTGGTATTTAAAGCTGAGCCTACCTTACCTGCATTTTCCAAAGCAGCACACAGACAAAAACACAGCCATCCATTGAAATTCATACTTTTCTGAATTTTCCAGTGCAGTTCATCATCCAAGCAATGTTTACAAAACTGCATATACTTTTTATTTTATTTATTTCATAAAATGTATACACTGCTTGATTATGAAAAGAAACAACCTCACAGCAGTTTACAAAGAGAAGAAAACAATAAAATTATCAGTAAAAACAGTTAAAAGCAACTATTTAAAATACTCAAAAACGTTTAAACCAGCAAAAACCTAAAAACAAATTAAAGCGCACATCAACATTTTACATATTCGGATAGGCTTGTCTAAACAAAAATATTTTTAACAGGTACTGAAATGAGTACACTGAAAGCACCAATGTGATACCATTATATGGGGGGGGGTTAAAGTGTGAATAAAAATGGAAATATTAATGAAAATAACACAGAGAAATGCATTATATGAGGGGAAATCAAGTGGCCAAAATTGCATCTTTTTGACAAAATTGCATACAGACCTGCACATATTAGGAAAAATTTTCACTGAAACGCACTGAGTTTTCATGAGAATTTGAAAAAAGAAGAAGCTACAGACTGAATTGGAAATGTGGAGAAATGAACTTAACCATTGGGAAAACGAGACACTGAAGGAAGTAGAAATGGACACCCATAGCATCAGGTAACTTTCATTTGGGTTAATAGCCATGGCGAATGGAACATCTGCGGAAGTGCTTGTTGGGGGAAACGAAGAGGATGCAATTGCTTCCACAGCCTAAGATGCGCTGATTCCAGCACTCCGTCACCACCACTCACTTTCCCCCACTCCACCCTACACTGTCTAGACACGCCTTGAGTAGAATGAGATGACAGAAGGATTATAATGACAGTGGCTGGCTGACTCATGAGTCAAGGGCCACTATTGACAAACTTTGGCTCTCTGCACGCATGTGCAAACAACTAAAAATTAAATAAATGCAAGAAACGGGCCTGAGCAATTGTAGAAGGACACAGAAATTCCTTCGTGTCCCTACCCCTCACACTGACCTAGATAGTTTGCATATCTTGATTGTGCTAGAGAAGGAAGAAGAAGACATGCATAGGATTCTAACCCTGACCCAGTATACTCATGATAATTGCAGAAGATAAAACCAGACAGATCAATGGGTGAATTTTTGTGAGGTTCAATGTGGAAAGTAATATTTCAGGTGGTCTGAGAAGTCCCTACAGTGACCACCCCCCAATTACTGGTCTCTCTCATTCACATTCCTCCCCCATCCTTAATGTGCTGCTATTATAGAGCTTCTTCATGGTGTTATTCTAGCCAACCAGGGATCACGTTGTGAACATGATGATGTCAGGTGCCATGTAGCCAATCAGCTAGCCATTCTGATGTGGCTTTGTGATCTGGGCCAGTGTATCCCTCCATCTGCCTTGCTCTCAGGCAACATTCTTAATCTTTTCCATTGGCTAGCAAGACGAAGCCTTCAAGAGCTGGAGATTCTGCAAGATGTTTGCTTTGGAGGGACCAGCTTCATATCAAAGTCTAGCACCATCTGGCCAGCTGCCAGCTTTCCTAACTCAAAAGGAGCAAAAGAGGACAACCAAAATGATTGAGGGGTTACTTCGACAAAATGCCTAAGGAGAAATAGAACTGAGTTTTACATTATAATGCATGGTGTGGAAGAAAGTGGAATAAGTGACATTTTTCTCATAATCCTTAACGCTGGGGATCATCCAATAAAATTATTTGGCTTCAGAGTCAGGGTGGGTGAAAGAAAGACCTTTCTCACACCACGTATCCTTATTTATGGAATATGCTGCCTCCAAGTGTGGTGATGGATGATTGCTGGCTTAGATGGTAAAAAAGGGAACAAGACAAAAGCATGTGACTATCTATAGTAATTGAGGTCATGGAAGCTATATAGAATGTCCAGATTCCAAGGCAATATGCCTCTAAATACCCATTACTGGGGAGCAACAATTGGTGACAATGCTCCATTACAGCAGATGGGGCTCTGCCCCACCAATCTCAGTCTGCCTTCAGACAGACCACCACATGCCTGCCTTCTTTCTTACAGCCAGTCCAGGAGGTGGCATTGCCTGCCAGCTTCTTCCTTCTTATTCTCAGTGTTGCCCTGTAGATTTCTGCAAAGGGATTGATGGGGAACAGAACTAAAATGAGTTGGCTCTGCCTGTCATTTGTTCTGGCGCCACCTACTGTTGGGCTCCCTGCCTTCTGCCCTACCAGTGCCTATGGACACCAGTCACTGCTAGATATTGCCATCAAGTTTGAGATCTTTTCAGAGACATCTGATTGGCTAGTTTTGGAAGAGGATGCTGCCCTTGCTGGACCATAGGTATGATCCTGCAGACCTTGTCTCAATGTTCTTTAAGCTGCATATTTTTGTATTAATGCCAACAATGCCTGGATAGTTCAGTTGGTTAGAGCCTGGTGCTGATAACACCAAGGTTGCAGGTTCGATCCCCGTGTGGGACAGCTGCATATTCCTGCATTGCAGGGGGTTGGACTTGATGATCCTCAGGATCCCTTCCAACTCTACAATTCTGTGATTCTGATTATAAACAAAACACTAGTGTCAAAAGCTCCCCCGTGAGGGAACCAGTCTTGCAGTAGGCTGCTCACCAGAAACTGTTATCTGGGGAGGTTTGGACAACGAAAATGGCATAACATTTCCCAGTCTGAGCACCAGGATTACCATTTCTTCACACACTTCTCCACACAGTGCACAGTTCATCTATGGAACTCACTCCCACAGGAGGCAGTAATAGCCAACAACTTGGAGGGCTTTGAAATAGGATTGGACAAATTCACGGAGGAGAAGACTATCAGTTGCTACTACCCATCATGCCTGTGCTCTGCCTCTGTGATCAAAGGCAGTAATGCTTCTGAATACCAGTTGCTGGGAAATCATCAGAGGAGAAAGTGTTGAGTCTTGCTTGTGGGTTTCCTGCAGGCATCTGGGTGGCCACTGTGAGAACAGAATTCTAGACCAGATGGGCTCCATTTGGCTTGACCCAGGAGGAGCTTTTTATGTTCTTACATCCTTACCAGACATGTTGAATGGAACATTTGTAGAAGTACTTCCTTTATTATTTTGCAGAGTTCAGTGGCTGGCTACCTGAAGTTCATTCTCTCCTACTTGAAGTGTTAAATCCAGAACAAAAGCAGGCAAGCAAGCAAGCAAGCCTTGCATACTTGCCTCAGTACATCTGAGAACACAGATCTCCACCCTAGAACATTCCTTAATCGACTCAAGTTCCCCAAAGGCTATTGTCTTAAGAGATCACCTCAACCCAAGAAGCAGAGAGTGAAGGAAGGCGGCGGCAGCAGGGGAAGGAGGGATTAAGCCCAGTATATATAGTCATAAACAGCCCGTGTAATTTGTTTTGTTTTGTTTAATGACCTGCGTTTTTAAACAATTAAAGCACATGTCCTGTGCTTCTGTAAAGGAGCAGGCAAGGCCTATTGTGAACCACTAATGAAATCCTAATGCGGAAAATTATAAACACAGACGCGTACAATGCCCACATTTATTGAAATGCTCTGGTAGCTATTAAAAGCTTTGAACTAACTGGGTGCGCAGATAATTGAAGGGCCATCGAGAGAGGAAAAAACCTGATGTGTGTTGGGGTGTGTGTGTGTCCGCGGAGAATCAGAATAAATAACCAGGATGGCAGGAATATAGGAAACTGCCTTATAGGGAGTCTGACCATTGGTCTATCTAGCTTAGTATTGCGCACACTGACAGGTAGCAGCTCTCCAGAGTTTCCGGCAGGGGTCTCTCCCAGTCCTACTGGAACATGCCTGGGACCCCCTGCATGCAAAGCAGATGCTATAGTACTGAGCTATGGGCCTTCCCCATATGAATACTCATAGGTGAATGAAGACATTTCTGCCAATTCTCTCACCATTTGTCAAGAGAGTAAGTGTGCAGAATGTTGTACTTTCAGCCTCCTTTAGATAAACCAGTAAAGTGCTGCGGTGCAGGCATTCAAACAACAACGTCAGAAGCTGAGATTCTCAGCTTCAGACATTTTCTGCTTCTAGTTCTCATGGAAACTCTAATATCCTTAGTTCATTATCTGATTATGACTCTTTGCATCAATTCCAATGGCAAGCCTAGTTGCATGTACACACAAGCAGTCCACTCCCCCCCCCCCTTTCTTGTACCTTACCCTCGACATATAATCCTGCTCATGCAGCAGAGAAGGTCACTCCACTCCTGCTGTCAACAGAAGCAACTATTTTCAAAGTAGGTAGCAGAACTGGTTGCTGCCTCTTAATGAAAATTATTTTTGAAAGAAAAAAGTGACACATAAACAACCCTTCATTCCCAAACCTGGTTAGACAAGAATCTTCTTGGGTGTGGGCTGGCTTGTATAATTAACTATGCAGCTGGCTCTCTTGATGCCTTTTGTAACATCTCTCTCTCTCTCTCTCTCTGGCTCTGCCCAGTGTAATTCAGGTATCTCACTTCTCCTCCCCATCTTTCAGGTGTGGCATTTAGGTAAAGCTTTTGACGTATTGTTCTTTCATTCCTTGCCGGGACAGCAGCCAGTGAGGTTGCCGGCTTTTGTGTAAGGGTAAGGTAGTCCAAGACTTCTGCCGTTTTCTGACAGTTGCAGGAAAGAGAGAAAAGAAATTGTTGAGGCCAGGAGAAAAAGCTACGGGATGGAGGCAGCAAGAGCAAATGGGACCACAAGTAAGTCAGAAGATGTGAAGACCCCAGCCTCTCCACCAAAAGAGGCAGAAGAAGGGAAGAAACCAACTAGCCCAAGCAAAGGGGAGAAAGATGCCAACAAGAATAACACCAGCCCTGCGCTGGAGATAGAACAGCTCAAAAAATCGATATATTCTGGGGGTGACTGGAAGAGGCCAATCATCCAGTTTGTTGAATCCGATGAGAAGAGGTCAACCTATTTCAACATGGAGTCTGGGGAGGGCAAGAAGCCAGCGTTCCCCTCCATGCCTCTAGGGGAGCCTCGGAGGTCCCAGATGTCCTTCCCAGAAAGAGGGGACCTGAGGAAGTCTATATACAACATGGAAACAAAGAAAACCTTCACCAGTGAAGGGGATGTGAAGAAGCCACTGTATTCTAGTGGGCAGATTGCAGATCTGAGGAAACCTACTGTCTCCCTTGGGGAATCAGGGGACACCAAGAGATCCAACTTCAACCGGGTGAGCAGAGGGTCCACTTCTAGGCCCCGGGTCCTCGAAGAGGTCCTCTGCGACTCCTGCATTGACAACAAGCAGAAGGCCGTGAAGTCCTGCCTTGTGTGCCAAGCCAGCTTTTGTGAGCTCCATCTGAAGCCTCACTTTGAAGGGGCTGCCTTCCGGGATCACCAGCTCCTTGACCCCATCAAGGACTTTGAAGCCAGGAAATGCCCTGTGCATGGCAAGACGATGGAGCTTTTCTGCCAGACGGACCAGGTCTGCATCTGTTACCTCTGCATGTTCCAGGAGCACAAGAACCACACCACGGTGACGGTAGAGATTGAGAAATCCGGCAAAGAGGTATTGTTCCTTTCCTACATATTATACTGGACCTTTACTCTTTCCATTTCAGGAAGTGAGACATCTTGATTCAGTCTCAAGTACCCCATTTCCAACCCAGCAAACCTTCTTATGTCTAATGGAATAAATGTGATACAGTGGGCCTGTGCAGCTGGTTCATGTCCATGCATGCCCATCACTTGATATCCCAACATGTGATGATTTGCACCCTGATATGTGTGCACTGATATAGGATATAGGAAGAGCTGCCTGACACTGAGTCAGATCATTTGGTCCATCTGGCTCAGTATTGTCTGCATTGATTGACAGAAGCTCTTTCAGCCAGGGGTTTTATCCAGACCTACTTGCAGATGCCAGGGATTGAACCTGGAACCTTCTGCATGCAAAGCAGATGCTCAAATACTGAGCTAAAACCTTTTGCCTTAGAAGTATTTTGAGGCAAAATGTTATGAAACTCTCTGATGTTGGCAGATTCACGTATTCCAGTTGCTGCTTGATGCTGGAGTTTGCAAAAAAGGAGTATGCATGTGCAGACTAATTATTGATTGTCAAGATGAAGGACAGCCTGGGTCCTCATACCTTTAAGGGGAGGCCCCAAGTGCCATCCTCAGAGAAGTTAGGCTATATAAAAAGTTAGGCTCTGGGGACCTTTGTGACACTTGGAAGTCAGAAGCTGGGTTGTTGGTATAATCTGGATGTGTGCTCATGGCAGCTGTCGGGACATATGTCTGTGGGACCTGGGGTGTGTGTCAGGCATGGACGGTAGAGAGAGAGAATGGAAGACAGGATATATTGTGCTCGTGAACTGAAGTGAGGGTCATTGTTGTAAGGGTGTTTCTGGCGCTGTAAAGTAGCTGAGTGACAATTACAGTGAACAGTTTACAAGGAATGGGTGATTGATGGGTTAAAGCTTGATGGGTTTTGTGCAGGAGAGAGAGAGAGAGTGCCGGAAACTTCTATGGCCTAGCCCTTATATTTCTGGAAAGAATAGTTTTAGCAGGTACAACTTGTCATGACAGAGCGCTGCAGGGTGAGTAAGGATGTACTCACCTGAGGGGGACTTACACCACATAGGAGGATTTTAACACCTTTCCGTTTTTGTAGAAGGGGGATTTTTACCTCAGAAAACACCTGGAAGGAAGGGGGTAATATAGATAAACCCAAATATTTTTGGACTTTTTATTCCCTGAATGATATAAGAGGATGAAGACCCTGGCTAGATGTTTCCAGTGTCCACCCCTCAAGATTCTGCCCCCAAAATACTTAACATCACTCTGTCTTCTCTTTTTCTCTGTCTCCCTCCTTTTCTTTGAGAGGTGTTTATTTTCTCAAAGGATTTTCTTTCCCTTTTCTTTCTGTTTTGGGTACAGCACCTTGGACCCTGAAGGTGCCCAGTGGCTTAAAAAGGTAGAGTCATGTTTTATACAGGGAGCCTCACAAAACAGTTTTAAAGACATATGAATAATCATCACGAAAAATTCCTCACAGAAAGAGCTGAGAAGACTTTTTTTTAATGAAAGGGTTTTCAATATTTTTTTTACCTAAGAAGAGGTGGAGAATTAGGGGAAGCTAATGGCTGCCTGGTGTGCTCTGGTCCATGGGGTCACAAAGAGTCGTATACGACTAAATGACTATACAACAACAATGGCTGCGGCACCCATTGAAAACTCTATCTGATGTGTTTTCTCAACTAAGCGACAGTTCATGAGGTAATAATTTCCTACATGTAACGGCTAAAGAATAGGCCATTGAAAATAAATAGATGGCATTATAAAAACAGCCAGGCCAGTCAAAATATTGGTCAGAGGCACCCTCAACAGGAAGTGTATAATTTTAGGAATCGCAGCAGCAACAAAAATCAATGTATTCTCACCTCTAAATCCTCTCCAGCATTTCAGCCAGCAATGCACTCCTCTAGGCTTCTCCAGTCTGTCCACACCGCTGTATCTTCCATTTTCCTTTTCCTACTGACACCCAACATTTCACGGCTAGTGAGTGTTGCTGAATTATCCCTGGGGTTTCTCCCAGAAGCAGGCTGGGACACCTCCATCTTGTTTCCCTATGACCCCATTTTGAATACAATCCAGTTGCTGATGATGATTCAGTTTAAATCTTGCGCATCCTCCCAAAGGAGCCCACTGGCTCCCAGATTGGCACTCATTCCCTGAGTTTGTTATTAGAGGGAATGGTAATCTTAATGGAGGTCAAGCACGTAGTTTATAAAGTTCAGTATTGTCAACCCTAATAGGTAATGGCCCCATAAGAAAGCCTGGAAGGATACCTGGGAGCCCAGAGATTAGACACAGCAAAACAGATATGCACATAGGGATGGACTAATCTGTCAATATCACTTTCTCTTGGTTCCTCATTTATTTTCCACTTTTAAGTTCACATTTCTGTGATTTTTTTTTACGCCATCATGAAAATTCATCAGCATTTTAAGTGCTCACGTCTCTTAACACTCACTTTTGTATGCAATTTCCCTCAACATAATGCATTTGTATATGCTATTGTCACTAATGCATGCATTTTGATGCATGCTTCCCCCTGATGTATGCATTTTTGTGCACATTATTAGAATGATGCACCACAAAATTTGAGAAGTGAGAATTTCGATGGATGGCTGTGTTTCAGTTCTCGGTTTGTTTTGAAAAGGGAGGATTTGATAGATTCAGCCTTCAAGGTGAACTGAACCAAATTTCTCCCCATCCCCAAGAGCAGAGCATCACGTCTCGTGGGACAAACTACTGAGAGGGTTAAAGAGATGACAAGCATGTGGGACTAACTAGGGATCTGGGTCACCCTTAAACATGTGCTGATGTATCAAGGAAGGCACATAGCTCACTGCTTTGGACGCAGACGCTCCTGGGTTCAATCCTGTCCATCGACAAAGGATCAGGTGGCAAGTGATGTGGAAAACCTCTGCACAAGACCCTGGAGAGCTGCTGCCAGTCAGAGTTATGCCCTGGGCCTGTTGTTGTTCAACGTCTATTAAAATGGCTTGGATGAAGGAGTTGAGGGACTACTCATCAAATTTGCAGATAACACCAAACTGGGAGAGGTAGCTAATGCTGCAGAAGACAGAATAGGATTCAAGATGAACTGAACAGATTGACAAAGCAAACAAAATGAATTTCAACTGGGATAAATGTCAGGTTCCACACTTAGGCAGGAATAACCAGCTGCACAAATATAATATGGTAGACACCTAGCTTACCAGTATTATATGGGAAAAGGATCTAGAGGTCTTAGTAGGCCACAAGCTTAACATGAGCCAACAGTATGATGCAGCAGCAAAAAAGCTAATGCTACTCTACACTGCGTAAACAGAAATATAGTGTCCCAATCAAGGGAAGTAATAGTACCACACTATTCTGCCTTCTTCAGATCACACCTGGAGTGATCTGGAAGGTGTGCAGAGGAGGGTAACAAAAAGGATAAAGGGTCTGGAAACCAAGCTATATGAGGAACAGTTGAGGGAATTTGGTATGCTTAGCCTAGAAAAGAGACTGAGAGAAGATATGATAGCCATCTTCAAATATCTGAAGGGCTGTCACATAGAGGGTGGAGTAAGCTTGTTTTCCCCTGCTCTGGAGTGTAGGACCCAACTCCATGGCTTCAAGTTACAAGAAAGGAGAGTCCAAGTTTCAAGAAAGGAGATTCCATCAAGAAGAACTTTCTGACAATAAGAGCTGCTCGGCAGTGGGACAGACTCCCTTGGAAGGTGGTGGATTCTCTTTCATGGGAGGTTTTTAGGCAGAGGCTGGATGGTCATCTGTCATGGATGCTTTAGCTGAGATTCCTGCATAGCAGAGGGGTTGGACTAGATGACCCTCAGGACCCCTTCCAATTCAACAATTATATGAGTGTCGATAAGACTGGGCTAAGTGGACAAATAATTTGACCTGGTATAAGACAGCTTCCTATGTCCTTAGCTACAATTTTGTTTGCCTGTACACTGGGAAAAGTAACAACCCCTTTTTTTATTATACCCCTGGGATAGCAACTTTCAAAAATAAAATAAAATGGAGGTCATCAGCAAGAATTTCAGAAGATGACATTTCAATGAGTGTGCGTCATTTAGTAAGGGATTAGAAACTTGTTGTTTCTTTTCCCCATCTGCTGGCCTCCCTAGCTTCATTCCAAAGCCTTGCCTGTAGGCTGTGATTCACAAGGCATGCCAGAACTTGAAGGGAGCTGAAATTAACTGGAAATCTCCTGACCTGATTCTTGCTGCTCATGTAGATAAAAACTGGAACTTGGTTTTGAGCATTGCTCGCTCTGGTCTGAATATGAGGCTGGGATGAGGGAGGCTTGGTATGAAAACCTTTGGAAATGGGGACTCTGTCACCCTGCCAATGTGAAGGGAGTGTTAATGTCTTTTCGAGTCAAAGCCAAGAGCCCAAACACAGAAAAAATGGTTGACCCAATTTAAACCCAGCCAGGTGTAATGCTCTGAGAGTTACAAACTGGCTTTTTAAAAATAAAATAAAAAGAAGAGTTTGGATTTGATATCCCGCTTTATCACTACCCGAAGGAGTCTCAAAGCGGTTAACAATCTCCTTTCCCCTCCTCTCCCACAACACTCTGTGAGATGAGTGAGGCTGAGAGACTTCAGAGAAGTGTGACTCGCCCAAGGTCACCCAGCAGCTGCATGTGGAGGAGCAGGGAAGTGAACCCGGTTCACCAGATTACGAGTCCACTGCTCTTAACCACAACACCACATTGAGGGCAGCCTCTTTTTTACTGCTTTTTTAGTTCCACCCCCCCCCCTTTAGCAGCTCAGGATGGTGTGTATGCCTCTCCCTCCAATTTATACTCACAACAACCCTGTGAGGTAGAACGGGCTGAGAGAGAGTGACCGTCCCAAGATTGTTCCGTTAGTATCATGTGTGAGTGGGGATTTAACTTGGTTCACAGTGGTTCTAAGTGAGGGGTGGCTAACCTTGCACTATCCAGATGTGACTGGATTACAACTTTTATCATCCCCGCCCATTGGTCAGGGTCACTGGGACTGATGGGAACTGGAGTCCAACAACACCTGAAGGACCACAGGTTAGCCACACCTGCTGGCTTATATGGGATATATGCAAAGCTGAAGAGCCGTTTATGAGTCTCACTTGCTTGCTAATCGCTATGCATTTATGCAGATTGCAAGTGCTGATGATGTAAAATCCAAAGGATACCTGGGTATTTTTTAAAAACTGCAACTTCTGCCCACCCGTCGTACCTCCATTTGAGGAAACTGTGTGGAAATGGTAGCCTCCCCTCCATCATGGAACTTGAAAAAGCAAAACAGCAAATGTCTCCTTGATGACTTGTCTTTATATCTAAGATCTGCGATAAGCCCGCGAGAGTCAGAAATGTGGCAACACCCCTTACTTTCTCTATTTTCAGCAGAGCATGCTCTAGCCTTTAGCAGTCAGAGGCAAAAGCCTCTCAGAATTTACTGCTTTCCAAAGTTAAGCCCAATATGTGAGATTCCAGCAGGATTATATGATTTTTTCCAGCTCTGTCTTTCTATTTGAATGTCAGAGCAGATGCTAAGACTGTGTGAGGTGTCATGTTACCAACTGTATTATCCTTAAAGCTCCTTGGATTCTATTCCTTTTTCTTTCTCTTTCTTTCATTTTCTTGCCGAGGTTTTTCTTCTTCTTCTTCTTTTTTTTACAAAAACTTTCTGTCAAAGCTGCCAAGCCTTCAGGCTCACAGAGTTGAAGAAAGAGTGAGGGAAAAGTTTACAAAAATACCCTAAGTACAAAACAGGGTGGGGGGAAAAAAGATTACTGAATAAAATTCTCTTTCACACAAACAAAGCATTGGAGCAAACATTCTCTGTTAGCAAAAGAGAGTTTTACAAACAGAATCTGGAAGTGCTTCCAGGGAGCTAGATACATTTTTTATATTTATAAATATTTTTATTTCCAGTACTCTTTTTCTGAAGGTTATTTTTCTCCCTCCACCCACAAAAACCTGATAAAGCATGAGAAATATCTGACAACCACAGGTCTGGAAATAACAAAGAACTGTGGGCCCAGCCCTCATCTTGTGTCAAATCTCATCTGAGTGAGAAGGCTTTGATTTTCCCCCCTGCCTTTTAAAATTTATTTTCTTCCTCCTTGTTTCCTTTTGTGGGTTTAATGAAGCTCTTTAGAAGCACTGTCAGTGACTGGAACTGGGTGTTTCTAATTTAAACAAAGTGGTGTGCAGATGAAAACCTGTTCAAAGTACTTAGCCAGCCTTTGATACCTCCGTGCTCACTGGAGAAGGGGGCTTGGAGACTTCCCGTAGCTTTGAGAGAGGTTTGTGTTTTGCAACAAGTTTCCTCTCAGAGAACAAACAAGCCTTCCAAAGTATATGCATTGAATCCAGTTCTTTGTTATCCCTTATTGATGAAAGGACTGTTGCTATTAGGAGAGGTGCAAAAACACGACACGCAAATCTGGCTTCTCATAGGAAGATAAGAAGCTGCCAGTAGGGACCAGTGTAAAGAGAGACAGCCACCCTTCTGACACCCTGAATTTCTGCTGCTTACCTGAAGGGAGGTGGCGAGTTCAGGACTGGTGCTTCTGCAGGACAGTACAGTGGTACCTCGGGTTACATATGCTTCAGGTTACATACGCTTCAGGTTACAGACTCTGCTAACCCAGAAATAGTACCTCGGGTTAAGAACTTTGCTTCAGGATGAGAACAGAAATTGTGCTCCAGCGGCGCAGCGGCAGCAGGAGGCCCCATTAGCTAAAGTGGTGCTTCAGGTTAAGAACAGTTTCAGGTTAAGAACGGACCTCCAAAACTAATTAAATACTTAACCCGAGGTACCACTGTACTCAGAGTGGTTTTGCTGGTGCCTCCATACAGCCCTAGAGCCCCACCCTGCCCAACCACCATCCAGGTAAGTTGTAGTGATGCTGGTGTCAGGAGAGTGGCTCCGTGGCTCTACCACACCACACATTGGCCCATCTGGCTCAGTACTGTCTACACTGACAGGCAGAAGCTCTCCAGGGGTTCAGGTAGGGTTATCTCCCAGCCCTACCTGGAGATGCCAGGGATTGAACTTGGGACCTTTTGCATGCAGAGCTCTGCCACTGAGCTATAGGCCTTCTGTCTATGTCCCTGAGTTGGCTCCCAATGCAGAGGCTGTGATTTATGGATGGGGCTGAGTCCTGGCAGTTCTGAATTAGGCTGAATTAGAGGTGGGGTTTGTAAGACCAGATAACAGTGGAAAGAGAAGAATCTCTCTCACACGCTGCAATGGTGGTGTACCTACCCCTCTTTTCTCCCAAGCTGACTGCTAGAAAATCTGGCTGGCTTCTTAGTTTTGCAAAATGTCTGCCACTGCTCTTGTTACCACAACCATAGAAAGCAGGACCCAGTGGCCTGGGTTCACAGATAAGGCTGAAACATGGTTTGTTTAGTCACAGTGTGGCTTGTTTGAACACCAGAACTCAGGCCACCAGAGAAACCATGGTCTGATTTCTGGAAAAGCAGAAAAAAACATGGTTTGTTGACTTACACTTGAAATGACAACATTCTCAAAATAAGTATAAAATCAGTAGTTTTAAAAGCATGACTGGTTTGTGAACATTCCTGTGGCACCTGGTTGTCCAGATGGAATGCTGAGTTGGAAAGACCCATTGCTCAGATTTGCATGGAGGTAAAGGGACTCTCTGTGTACTTGGCAAATTTCATCTACTGTTACAAGTGAGCTGGTGTGAAATTCTAATGCTTGTGTCTGTCATAAATGGGACTTCTGCACTTGTGATAGGAGAGGTCTCTTGATCTTGGGCTTTAGCTTTTATGCCTCTGCAAAATGTTAAACACGTAAGTTCTTCATTTGCCATAAAAGAAGCCAAGAACTTGACTTATTCTGAGTTTTAAGCTTGTGATTTTCAAGATTATTTTTTTTGGGGGGGGAGAAGGGAATAAAAAATGTTGTTTTAGTCCACCCCAATGACCTAGTCTTGTAAGTCTTTATTGGCACGTTGATCTTATCAGTGTTGTAACATTACGTGAGATCATTGTTGGAGAGCAAGATTGAAAGTTAAGAAAATTAAGAAATCAGAAACTAAAGAGTCAACCACTGGAGTTAATCAGACAGACTTAATCAGTAGGTTACTGGACATAGCTAGGTGTTGGGGAGTCTGTGATACAATAAAATAAGTGACTTTCAGAATGACTGTGATGGGGTCAGCTGCATAGATCCCAAACAAAAGTCAAGGGCCATTTGGGAATTGACACTTCAAAACTGTTATCAGGAGAGCAGCCTCACCTTGGGGGGTGCAGGACACACAAAGCTTTGTTCCCTAACAGCTCACTGTCAATCCACAGGATCTGGTGCCTGAGGCAGTTGCCTCCCTCTGCCTAATGGTAGGGCCACCCCCCCGGGGTTGACTTGCCACATTGCACAATAGAAGCACATCATAATTCATTATACAAGAGTCACATTCAGCCATCCTTTGACACTCATTCTCACCACTGTGGTTGGGTTTGGGCAGGGCTCTTGCAAATGAGTTGTGGGAGGAGATTTGGGTGAACACCCAGAACTTTCACTGAGGAATGACAAGAGGTTGCTTGAGTTTCCTCTTTCATCACCATATTGATTTGAGATCATCATTGCTTCATGGTGCACACAGATCAGATATATGTGTTTAGCATACTCAAACTCTGGCTTACTTTTCACCTTCCCATGCATGTCACATCCCAACTCACATGCGAGTGGCTAGCTTTATTCTTATTCTGTTATCCTACTAATGTCTACAGCCAGTTCCTGAGGGTGGGGAGGTTGACCATTTGCTGAAGTCTCAAGACTGAGAAAGAACCCATTGCCTGAATAGCACTTCCGTTCGCATTTTACATTTCAGAGGGAAGTCACATACAGCTGTCAGGTAGGAGCCAGGAGGGCAAGGTAGGAATCAGAGCCAGGAATTCAGAACCAGAGAACAAGCCAAGAGCCAGGGAGGGCAATCATTGACTAAGCAATGGTCTGAATAGGAAGCCCTTTATACCTCTTTCTGTTGAAGAGAGTCAATGATCAAAGTCCAGATGAGCAGAGACCATTCAGGACTTGGGAACCTTTTTCTGCTTAAGCCAGACTTCCCCAATGTGCTGTCCTTCATATATTGTTGAACTATAACTCCAATCAACTCTGGCGTTTGGCCATACTGGCTGGGGCTAATGGCAGCTGTAGCTCAAAACATCTAGTGAACATCAGATTGGGAAAGGCTGGCTTAAACAGTTACAGCAGCCTGCAGCTCAGGTGGTTTCTTGGAAGAGTCAGCCAGGCCAGGATGAGAGCCAGATTTCCTTAGGACTTTGATGGATCCATGCAAACATGGCCCCCTGCACTGTACTGCTGCCCTATCAGTCTCCCCTCCAATGTTATTGCTGTTGTGCCAGGAGATGCCACTACCAATCCCTCATCTTCTCCTTCTGGACCTGGATTTGTCTCGCAGGCAGGCAGGCAGGCAGGCAGGCAGATAAGCTGCAGTGGTGCTTTATAAAGCAAGCCAGGCTCCAATGCACAACTGCTGCCCATCACCTTACTTTGCAATGCATGACATCAAAGTTGAAAACCCTGAATTTTGGGTAATCTAAGGTGATGGCTGTCTACCATGCATTGAAGCCAAATGCTGGATTAGCTCCCATTCCTGAATGCTGTAGCCCAGGCATAGGCAAACTCTGGCCCTCCAGATGTTTGGGACTACAATTCCCATCATCATAGACCACTGGTCCTATTAGCTAGGGATGATGGGAATTGTAGTCCCAAACATCTGGAGGGCCGGAGTTTGCCTACGCCTGCTGTAGCCAATTAGCAGTGCATCTGAATGAGGGGAGTGTTTTGTTCGGGCAGCAGTAGTGTGCAGTAGTACCAACTGAGGTCTTTTAATCCAAGGGCAGGGACAGCAGCAATGCTGAATAGGAGTCCTGGTAGGTGGGTGTCAGGGGTGGATATGGACCCTTCCGAGTTCCAGATCCACCACCAACCATTACAAGTCCTGAACCATGCCTAGAGCCATGGGGTTCCTGGTTCTAACCTGGCAGCTTCTGATATTGCACTCATGAAGCTCACAGCCAACACAGGAGATGCTTCTGCTTACATGCCTTGCATCTTCCAGGTTAAGAAAACCAATTGAAGGTGCCTTACCCAGGGTATTCCATCCCACCCTCGTCTTCTAAGAGCCAGCAGGGGAAGTGTCTATGCAAAAGTTACAAAAAGGTGGAATGCACTCATTGAATGGTAATGGGATCATTGAAGCACATGTGCTGGTGATGTGGTTGGCACTCACATTCCCAAGGTTTCTGCCTGACACACGCCTTTTGCACATGGAATTTGCCCCCCTCCCAACTGAAGTGGTACGTTCCCAAGAGCCACCTCATTTGCATGCTACCGTAGGTTTTGCATAAATGTCAAATAATGTAAACACGATAAAGAGTAACCTACACTCACTGGTCAGGATTGCCTCTTCTGGCTCAAACGGGCCGGACAAACGCTTTTCAAATGCTGCTTTTGCTCAGCCCAAGAACATGTTCAGCACAGAAACAAACACTAGGAGATTCTGAAGAGGGTGATCTTCAAAAGGGATCGCATTGTGCTCCGTGTATTGCATGTGAAGTGTGGATTGCCAAGAGCTGACCTGAAGGGGGCTCTAACATCCTCAAGAGCTGCACTACCGAGAGAAGTTCTGAAAGCACAGCATCTTCCATTGTGTGGCATTCTGACAAAAGGAAGCACACCTGTCTGTCTGCATTGCTCCCACTCTCGCTGCCATGCAGCTGTTCAGAGCATAGTCTTCTTTGGTTCAGGAGATGGAAATTGATTCCCAATGCCACAGATTTTAGGTGGGGTGGGACAAAGCAGTGGTTGCGTGTTTGTGTGCAATGGTCACCAAATGAACCATCCTGACTATCTCATGCCTCAGCTGGGGCATCTATCTGATCAAGATGGATTGGTTTTGATCATCTAAATTAATTCAGCAGGATTTTTTAATTTTTTTTGGGGGGGGGTGCAGCTCAAAAGTTGTCCTGTCTCCCTCCATTTTCTGAAGAGAGGGAGGAGGCAGTGATGGCCACTCGCTGAAATGCCTTTAAAAGGATTAGACAAATTCATAGAGGAGAAGGCTTTCATTGACTACTAGCCATGATCTCTAAGCTCTGTCTCCATGTTCAGATGCAGTCATGCTTCTGAATGCCAGTTTCTGGAAACCTCAGAAAGGGAGAGTGGGTTCTTGTGCTCAGATCCTGCCTGCAGTTTTCCCACAGGCATCTGGTTGGTCACTGTGGGAACAGGGTGCTGGCCTTGATGGGCCACTGGCCTGATCCAGCAGGCTCTTCCCATGTTCTTAACAGCAATATCCTACACGGGGACATGTGGGATTCGGGTTACCTGGAGGGACCCCAAATTGAGGTGTGTGGGGTTTTTTTTTTAAAAAAAGTACTCCCCCTACTTTAAGTGGGTCTGACTGGATGTACTACCTGTGCTCCTAAGTTGCGGAAATATAATAGGAAGAGAGGAAGCAAGTCAGAGGATTGTTTCATCTAGTTCAGTATTGTCTCCACACTGACTGGAAGCTGCTTTCCCAGGTTTTCGATAGAAGACATTCTGAGCTCTACCTGGAGATTCCAGGGATTGAACCTGGGACCTTCTGTGTGTCCATAAATGCTCTGCTGCTGAGCTGCCGCCTGTCCCCTCTGCCACTGAGCATGATGGGATGGTGATGCCTCTCAACTGCCCATCCAACATTTCATCAGCTCCCTTTGGCCTGATAATTTTTCTAGTCAAAACTGGCAAATTCATGCCTCTCTCTAATGATAAAAAGTTTAGTAAATAATGATGGGTGTGGACTCTACTCCATCTCCCTTGTTGGCTTCGGTTTAATTCCTCAACTTCTTTCTAGCCATATCAGCTTTCAACATATAATGGGCATATACTAGTTTAACTGCTTTGGTCCCCCCCCCCCCAAGAATCCTGGGAAATGTAGTTTGGTGATGGAACCAGGAATTAGTCCAAGAAGCTTAACCTCCTCCAAAGTTCTTTAGGAAGAAGGAATGACTGGTTAAAAAGTTGAAGCCTCTGTGGGCACACACTCTCCTTCTCCCTATTTGTCCCTTAGTTTTTCTGCCTTGCTACCTAGCTGTGGTGTCCCACTGATCAGGGCTGGTTTAAACCATTCATGCCATTCCAGTACGAAGGAAGGCTCCAGGTGCAAAATTGTTAGGGGAGCAAAATTTCAACACCGGTGCTGCCTCAGTACAGCTACGTGCTTCCGTCACTGGGCTTTGTTGAAAGTGGCTTCTCCATGCGAACCAGGAAGTGACCTCTCCAGACAATGGAACAACTCTTCTTTTCTTGTCTCTGTGGCTGTGATCTCCTGGGTGATGGGGACACTGTTAGGCTGTTGAATGTGCATGCGTACTCTGTCTGTTTCCCTGCCTCCCCACCCCTCCATGCAGCCCTGGGCACTGGCAACCCACGCTATGCCATTGGTGGGGAAACCTTAGCCCAGGGGCTGAAAGTGCCCCCCAAGTCCATTTATTTGGCCTTTGAGACTCTTCCATCTCTCACCAACCTTGTCCTGCACCCTCCCCAAGTGATTTTGCTCATCTGGATGTGTCCATGGACTATGACGATGTCTCTTGTTGGATGGAATGAGAGGAGCTGAGTTCCTGTGGAGAAACCCCTGAGTTTTATTTGCCTGGAACATAGTGCCCTCTACAAAGCTAAGTCACACCCACTTCCTCTGCCCATCTGGTCCTGCCCACCATGGATGTGCGACCCATGGATGCTTGCTTAGGAGTGAATGCGGCTTTCGGGTTCCCCATCCTGGTCTAGCCCAGTATTGTCTAATCTGGCTAGCAGCTGCTCTCCAGAGTCTCAAGCTACGCTTCCCCCACCACTTACTCCAGGGGTCAACAACCTAAGGCCCATGGGCCGGAAGAAGCCCACGGAGGTTGGTTGACCGGCCCATGAGCCACCCCAGAAACCAAATTGCCCGCTCGCATGCTGCACTAAACTGGCGCGGCGCGGCACGGGGACTCGCTTCCATGGCACTGGAAATCGTGTCTGTGCAGATGCAGTCACCTGAAAATTGCAACTGCGCATGCACAGATGCCGGAAATTGCATCTACACATGTGCAGACACAGAAAATTGCAGGCGGGCGCGCTCGCACACATGCATGATCCAGCCCACAGAGGGATCTCCCCGGGACCGATCCAGCCCAGGCAAGATAAACCTTGCTGACCCCTGACTTACTCTATGCTCCTTTTTAGCAGGTCAGATCACTGGTCCATCTAGCACAGTCCTGTCTACACACTGACCGGCAGTGGTTTTCCAGGGCTTCAAACAGGGAGTTTCCCCAGCCCTGCTAACCTCTGACCTATCCATCATCTCTAGGACAGGAGTGAGAGGCCCGCTCTGAACACTTCAGCCTTTGTGGAGACATCAAAACATGTCCTTTGAGTCTAAGCCTCTTCTTGATTTACTCCTTTCTTCTCAATTTTTGTATTATGAAAAAATTGCTTCCTCCGGCCCTTTCATGAGCCCCTTTAATATATGAGAAAGCACACGTCTCCCACCCCTTTAATAAATCAGACTCTCTTTGGTGTACTCCATTACCTGCCTGGCTGCTCACATTTCTTCCTCCGCCCGCCCCCTTGCCATTATGGCTGTTTGGAATGCGTCAGGCGAGAGCATCCTCATGATCTCTCCCATAAATCTTTGGGGCAAAAGCGCAATCTTTGTGGATGGCAGTGGTTCCAAGGTCTGGGCTACCCTAAATTACCGGTGAAATTTTAATTTGCCATCACTCCAGCTGTGCCTCATTGTGCCGCAGAGATTGATGTTGACACAGCTCCCATCTCCCAGATCAGGAACGCGAGCAGATCAAAGGGATTATGCCTTATACAGTGAGTTAGTAACTAAAGGTTTTTTTAAAAAAACCTCTGGAATCCATCTTGACGACAAGCACCATAAAAGGTCAATTATCCATTCCCTTTCTCTCTCTTTGCCACTTTGAAATTGTCTTTCAAGCTCTGCCTAGCCCATACATCGACAGGGCTGCCAATCACTCAGTATTATACCGCTCAATTAAAACTCTGAACAGGTAACCAGCCAGGGAACTCCAATAAAGCCAGCCCTACCATTAGGCAGCATGAGATGGCTGCCTCAGGTGGCAGAAGATGGGAGGATGGAATGGGGATGGTGAGTTATTGGAGGGGAGAGTATTGTGTGTGCCACATAGTCTGCCCAGAGGTCATATCCATGTTATATTTAAAGCACATGGCTCAGGAAGTTAGTTTCTTAAGAGTGTTGGGAATTATAACTCGGGGGGGGGGGGATAAACTACAGCTCCCAGGATTCTTTAGGAGAGATGTCTGGTCCTCTTTGATAGCCAGCAGCATTAGTCTTCTCTGTCCAGCTCTCACTTTGCCTCAACCCTGGTGCAGACTGGATTAGCGGAGGGGTGAGAGCTCTGAGTACAGATGGTCATAAGTGCTTAAATTCATAGAATCAGAGCTGGAAGGGACCCTCAGGATCATCTAGTCCAACCCCTGCAATGCAGAACTATGCAGTTGTCCCATAAGGGGATCAAACCTACAGCCTTGGCATTATCAGGCACCAGCTTTGATCATGCTTGCTTGAGCCTCAGACTTCCACCAGATGCTATCTTGTCCCTCTCTTTCATGGACTCACCTTTGGGTCCACAACAGAGTAGCAGGTGATGTAGGGCTTCCTTGAAGATTCTCTGTGGTGTAATGGGTCAGTGTGTCTGGCTGTTAATCAGAAGGTTGGTGGTTTGAGCCCACCCTGGGATAGCTGTGGGTTGGACTACATGACCCTTGGGGTCCCTTCCAATTCTACAATTCTATAATTCTAGAAAGACTCCAGTGAACTTCATTCCAAGGAAACAAAACTGCGGGAAAGCATCCATCCCTGGAGTCTCTGACTGCTTGGAGGTTGGGGTGGCATGCAACAATACATGCATATTAAAATGAAATAACACTCAAAAAGGAATATTTTGCTGACTGCATAATTCACTTAAAACAAAAAGCCCCAGAAACTGTAAAAACATGAAGCGACAGGGATAGCAGAAACAGGCACGTAGCTTATCCTTCACAGAATGAGCTTCACTCTCCTTTTCCTGGGATGTTAGCTAGGATTTACCCCACTATTTTTTCTTTTTTAAAAAAGATATACCATCATATTTAGAATAATTGAAGTTGTCTTTTTTCTAAGTAACATGCAGGAGCATGTTACTTAGGAGTATTACTTAACATCCTAAAATACCCAACTTCAAAGCTTTATTAAGTTAGCTTCACATGTCTCCACCTTTTAGGAGATTGCACTATGTTCTGCCGCGGGCAACTTCCTAAAGTCCTATGACATTCTGTTCACTTTGGAGCACAGGTGGTACATACTCCCAAACGCCTGAAAGATCTGTTCCTTCCCTACAGACTCTCTTGGGTGTACCATCAGTCTCAGAAACATGGGGTGGCCAGGAGAGGGCCTTCTCTGTGGCTGCCCCCATGCTGTGGAACTCCCTCCCCGGCACTTTCAGTATACAGCTTCTGGAAAATACTGAAGACCCACCTCTTTACCCTTTACGGAAGACCCTTTACAGAGGTGTATTTTTTTAGGACCGACCTTATTTCTGTGATTGTCAGTTGTTTTAAACTGTTTCTAATTCTGTGTTTTAATTGTTGTAATCTACCTTAGGACCTTAGGATGAAGAGTGGGTAAATGATGCTGATGCTGATGCTGATGATGATGATGATTCCATCCATCAGACACTATATTGCTGCCCCAGGCAAAATATAGGAAGGTGCCCACCACCCCACCACAATTCTATGTGCAAATGTTAACTGGACAGGTAGCTAAACTGTATTCCACTTTGCTTGCCTCCACTGGACATGAGAGCATCAAAGGAGTGCAGGGCAGACTGGGCGGCATTCTAGCTTTTCCTGCCACAATTTCTACCCATCTGCGGCATTCTGCCTAATGGTAGGGCCGGCCCTATTCACTGCATTATACTCCATCTACCTGCGCCCAAGTTCTTTCACTACCTCCTTGGGGACAGAGTAACAGGTGGAGTAAGAAACCGGGTCCCTCTGGGCATTCTTTTGAAAGCCTGAAACTCTCCTAGATGGAGTTTTAAGCATTTGAGTGCAGTACTTCAAGGCTTGAAGGGACTCAGTTCTTTTTCAGAAAGAAAAGAACCTCATGTTTGCTCATCCCTAGATGGGGCATGAAAGATGTTTATGGCACATCCCAGAGCTGGCCCACCCTTGACGCAGGCTGAGGTAGCTTACTTCAGGTGGCGGAAGCCTACAAGGTGGCAGAGAAGCAGTGCCGGCAGCAGCACTGGTTTGCCTTGAGATCTTATGAGATCTCACCAAAATCTCATGCACTTCGTGAGATCTACCTGGAACCCACTGGAACCTGCCACCATTCAGCCCAGGTGAAGGAGACCGCTGCGGTAGCTGAGCAGCACTTTCCTGTTTTGCCTCAGGCGGCAAAATTGGATGTGCCATTCCATTACATATAATCACGTGTACTGGTTTCCAAACAAAATGGCTTGACCATCATGGCTTTCCACCCAAAGGCATAATGGGCATTGGTTTTCTCAAGCTGCAGAAAGTGCTTTGTTAAGAGATCACTGGCATAGTTCATTGGGTTTGATGGAGGGTGGCTGAGCTGGCTGTTAAACCAGTTCAGGTAGGCAATTGAGGCCTGCCCTTAGCGGAACAGTTCCTGGTTACTATGTGCTTGCAAAGTCCAACAGCAGTGTGAGACCACACATGATTTGAGGGTATGTTCTCAGACCCACGCTATCCCAATCTCATGACACAGCTAGTGTGGGATAATGGAGGGAGTGTAGGACTTCGTCCTGCTTTCAAATTTCTTTTATTTCCTGCTTCTCATGGGCTGACCTTGGGCAAGTGATTGCCTCTCAGCCTAACTTACTTCTCAGGATTGCACCATAAGGCAAAACTGAGATGGAAGATTTTCTTGCCTTATACCCTTAGGGCCTGGGTGTGAAACAAATTACAATATTTATCTTTTTTTAAAAAAAGGGTCCACCCAAGAGATCTGATAAATTTGGCTGAGTTCTTCCCTTTCCATTAGATATTCAGCATGTGAAATGGTGTTATTTATCTGCATTGTAGATTTATTGCAGAGTGCACCAGGTTTTATTAATGAAAGCTGTGTGTTGACATAGGATTGTAAGAGTTTTTTTCCTCGATTTACTTTCTCAGTTTGGCAGAGAGAAAATAATTCGCCTTTTGTCACCTATCTGTTTTCTGGTTCATCTGAAAAACACAATGTTTGAATGATGTCCAGGTTAACTAAGCTGCATTAGTTGGATTGTGCAAATATGTCCAAAGCCCCTGTGGGAATTTCCAAAGACTGCTAAGCAGTAAGATGAAGAGAAGAGCATGCATGTTTTGGATTAATTGATTTGGAAATTAAAGGTTGTTCAATTCCAGCAACACCCATAACTAGAGGTGTGTGTGTATGAAATCTGGAGAATTAGATGAATATAATAATGAATAAAGATGTGTCTAACATTTTCAGATATGTTTAGAGGTAGTGCTCCTTTTCCAGTACCTTGTCAATTTAACCCTTCCCTTCCCAACTGTGGCCTCCTCCCAAAAAGGTGCCTTGTACTGCAATTAGGTTTGGACAAAAGGTTTTCTTTTGGGGTCAATGGGAGATTGCTATGTTTGTTTTGGGTGGGTGGGGTGAGAGGGGGATCGGGGCAAGGAAGGGATACCCCTGGCCATATTGGGAAGCCCCAATGACTGGCTTGTGGGTCACTTGTTCACTACCTGCTATCCAGGAAAGAAAGGAATTCTTAGGGGAGTTTTTAGTGTTTGATGTTTTATTGTGTTTTTAATATTTTGTTGGGAGCCACCCAGAGTGGCTGGGGAAACCCAGTCAGATGGGTGGGGTATAAATAAATCATCATCATCGTTACAGTATTCCCATCTCATTGATGTAAAATTGGGACCAACATAACAGTCACTTAGGTGACTTGTAGTGTTCCTTTCTAGCGGTGCTGTGTTAGCACACACAGGATAAATAAAGGAAGGCTAGAAAAATTGGTTCATCTCTCAGGACCAAGTTATCTTTCTCTGGGTGGCTAAATTTCATAATGTGGAGACATGAATTAGCATGATAGTAATTTGATTTGTCATGATGACTAAATGGAGCCTCCACATTCAAGTGCAGTGTATCTCTGGATATAGTAGATGTCGGGGACAAATGTGCCTTACCTGCTTGTGATCTTGTGGCTGGTCACTGTTGGAAACTGGAGACTGGGCTAGGCAGACCTTTAATCCACAAAGCAGTTCTTAGATTCTTACAAAGAGCAGGTATGTGAGCTCAGGGCTCTAGGTGTGTTGTGGGATGAACTACTGATGTGAAACTGACCCCGTGCCTGGTGCACACCACACAGAAAGACTGGATGCCGAGTGCACAGCAACTCCAAGATTTGCACTAGGGCAAACATGCCTATTTGTGGGTCTCATGCATTGAAATCCAGGTGTCCGTCATAGAATTGTAGAGTTGAATCCCAAGGATCATGTAGTATAGCTTCCTGCAATGCAGGAATCACAGCTGAATCGCCGGGCCACACATTATGATGGAGAAATAGGGGAAGGCACAGAGAACCATCTTCCTTCCAGATTCCCTCTGTCACATTTTCATCTACCTGGACAAACCTGATCTTTGGACAGGCAAATTGTTCCTAGAATCATGCACCAGTCAAGGGACAGCCAGCCATGCAAACACATCTTTGCACAACTCTTAACCCTTTCTGCCTCTGCTCTCAAGGCTTGGAAGGGACAAAGTGGGCTGCGATTCAACAGTGCCTGAGCGAGCTGGTGGATTTCCGTCCTCCTTTCTGCTCTCACTGTCTTCCTCACCCTGCCTTGATCATGGCATCGTCAAAGGGCTAGACGCAGAGCGAATGAATCTGTGGTCATGTCTAAACAAAATTTCTGCCGAGGGCGTCCTCCTCTCTGTTGCAACATGGGCCACGTCATCCTGTAATTACATGGAAAACTGTTATTGTTGCAGTGACACACCCTGGGCTGGGCCCTGGGCTTCAAACACATCTGGATTTTGAAATCTGGCTCCTTGACACCCTCCACCCCCCACAGCAATCCACATGAATGTGATGGGGGGGGAGCATAATCCTAACCCCCTAAAAAAACCCAATTCATGAGGGTAGATAGGAATCTGCCCAAAGCTTTAAATCTAGATTTGTGTGTGTGTGTTCGTCTTGGGGATTGGGATTGCCTGACCCAACTAGTGAGATTATCTAGATGAGCTTGATTATCTGTGATAGCTACTCCTAATTGCCAGGAACCTGTAACTCATGGGAGTTGCAGTCCAGGGGCCAAGGGCAAAAGTGAGCATCATCTGTTGGCTTTGAAGCTGCTGCCTAGCAGAGTACGATTTCATTGGTGGCTTTCTTTCCTCTCCACAGACTGAGCTCTCTCTGCAGAAAGAGCAGCTGCAGCTGAAGATCATTGAGCTGGAAGATGAAGTGGACAAGTGGCAGAAAGAGAGGGACCGTATCAAGGTGAGATCCACACAAAATCCTCCCGCATCCCTCTTCTTCCCAAAACTACTCCCCCCCCCATTGCTCTGCTCATTTCCTTCCTCCTGCTTTTTGCACTCTAACAGAGGCCATGTCCACACCATGCATTTAAAGCACTTTGATGCCGCTTTAAACAGCCATGGCTTCTCTCAAAGAATTCTGGGAGCTGTAGTTTTGTTAAGGTGTGCTGAGAGTTGCTAGGAGACTCCCTCAGAAAACTCCAATTCCCAGAGTTCCCTGTGAAGAGGAACTAAGTGTCATTGGCCCGATCTTGTGGGATGCTCTCCCAATAGAGATTGAGCAGCGAGGTTCTGCTTCAGCTTTCAAATGCTTGCTAAAAACATTTCAAGTCCACCAGGCTTATGCAGGCAATGAAAACAGATGCTTTCCACAATAGCGAGATGATTTCTGATATTATTATTATTATTATTATTATTATTATTATTATTATTATTAAAAATAGACCATTGTAAACTATTCTCACACATTTTTATGAATGGTGGCATATCAATATTTTATAGCTAACTAAATAAATTTCAGTGAGTCTACTCTGATTAGGACCAGCATTAGATACAGCTGGAGGCTTCCACCTTCTTCTGCCTTGCTCTTTTTTTTCTCCTCACTTCCATTTCCTCCACATATGGTTCTCCTAAGATGTCATTTTGCTTCCTCCGCTCATGTTCTCACCTCTTGCTCACTTTTCTTTTCGAGTATCTCTTCAGGGCCAGACCAACTGCACGGGCTAGAAGTGTGTGTGTGGGGGGGGGGGGAGAATAGGCCCATACATCTAACTTGGCAGAAGGCCTGGAACACACAAGCTCGTCTCACACTCCGGGGACTACCCAGCGCATTTAAATTCTGTGCCTTGGCTCCGCCAAAGTTGTCTGCTTATCTCGACTGCCAGAGCTCATCCCTGAATATCCGAGGGTGTTGCAAAAATAAAAAATCATGTCAAGCAATATATGCAAAGCCGGCTTTTTCTCTTTCCAAATCGCAGGAGAACGCCTGAGCATGGGAACTTCCATTATATGGATTCGCTGTGCCCCATGTTAATGTAATCTTCATTCTTTTACTACTTATTACATTTTTAAAAAAATAAATAAATCCCTGACCCACCGCAAAGGAGCTCAGGGTGGCATGCCTGTTTATTTGTTGTGTATCCTCTACCCATTTTATCCTTTCAACAACCTTACGAGGCAGGACAGGCAGGGAAAGTTTGTCTGGACACTCAGTGAGCTTCATTGCTGAGTGGAGCGCTGAACCTAGTTCTGCATCAGTTCTAAGCCAGTCTTCCCCAACTTGGAACTTCAAGATGTTGCTACACCCACTAGTGCCCTAAATGATCTGAAGAGTACCAGGTTGGCAAAAGTCTGGCTTAAAAGTCTCCCCAGGTTTTCACAGGACTCCTGATTCACAGGGAAATGACCAGAATGTTTTGAGTGCAGGATTTAGCTGAGAATCTCTGTGTGGGTGGAAACGTTCTCAGTAGAAACCGCTAACGTGGTTAGATCAGAGGAAACCTGGGAAGCTATCAATTGATGATGATGTCATCTTGAAGTGCTTTGTTATACCTCTGCCCTGCAGGTTGTACTGTGCACAAAAGCACCCTTTCAGACTTCTCCTTGTTCAGCTACTCTTAACAATCTAGACCAGGGTGGGGAAGCTTTTCCAGTCTAAGGGCCACATTTCCTTCTGAGTAGGCTTCTGAGGGCCACGTGCCAATGGTGGGTGGAGCCAGAGGGAAAGTGGATGAAGCAATAAACATAAATTTGACTTTTTGTCAAGTTTCTAATCATACTCACATACCCCTCTCTGTCCTCCATCTGGACAAGCAACAGATATCATCAGAGGTGAAGGATACATCCCGGACAGGGAAAAAACACTCAGGGTATGAAACAAAGCCAAAGAGGGCCAGTTGGAGAGACCTTGAGGGCCACATTTGCTCCTGCCCTGGCTTGAGGTTCCCCACCCCTGATTGGATGGTTTCTATATCGGATTCTGCACACAATATAAGTCACACCTGCAAGGATATACTTTGCATGAAGGTGTCTAGAAATGTCAGTGACATAACACTGAAATGACCAGCCTCCACCCTCCCATACGTTTCTAAAACATGCACTCAGGAAATTGAACTGGTGCAGCTTTTGCTGGGCATCCCACATCACACTCCCGGTGTGGGTCTGCAATGTTCAGAGCATCCTTGCACACAGAAAACTAGGGCATCAGGGAGAAGGGGTTTGGTTTTGCTCTCTACCGGTGATGGGCATTTCATTTTGTGACAAATGTCAGCTCCAGCCATGCAGAGAAAAAGCTTTGTGGTAGATGAGTCAGCGCATTTCCCTCCCCCTGTCTCTTCGTCTAGAACTTCACCACCAATGAGAAAGCCACGGTGGATCAGCATTTCAAAGAGCTGATCCGTGACCTGGAGAAGCAGCGGGACGAAGTGAAGGCCGGTTTGGATCACAGGGAGAAGGTTGCCGTGGAGAACATCAAGGAGATTGTGGAGGAGCTGGAAGAAAGGGCCAAACTCTTGCAAGAAGACAAGGAGACCAGGGAGCAGATAGGCCAGATCAGTGACTCAGTGCTCTTCCTGCAGGTATGCAAGGCTGTTTTTCCCCCCTTGCTGACTGTGGTGGCTGGTGCCTATTGGGGCTGGTAGGGCAGAAGGCAGGGAGGCCAACACTAGGTGGAGCTAGAGCCAATGAGCTAATTTTGTCTCCATCCTCCCTGCAGAGTTCCACAAGGGCAGCACTGAAACTAAGGAGGAGGAAACTGCCATAGACAGTGCCACCCTAGATTTATTGTTAGAAGCTGGGCTGGTGAGAGGGAGGGCAGACTGAGGTTGGTGGGGCAATACCCCATTTGCCCTCATGGGCCAGTCGCCGCTCCAATAAAGAGGTCAGATGGCAAAATACCTGCATGCTTTTAAGACTTCGCTATATAGCACCTTTACACTATTGTCTGATTTGTCTATAGCGAGGTGGACAGCCTGTGGCCCTCTAGTTATTATTGGATTCTGTCTCCTATCAGCCCAAGCCAGCATGGCCAATGATTGAAGATGATGGGAGTTGTAGTCAAGTAGCACCTGGGTGGATGAAGTTTTTCCACCTTGGCCTATAATTTATGCAAATATGTATACATCTCCAGACTCAGCACCTCCGCCCCCACCCCAAAGTTAAATCATACAAAAAGCAAACTAAACAGCTGTTCATAGATGTCAATGCGTCATTTATTCTGTCAGCACTGGTGAAAGAGAAGGAGAGTACTGAAATCCCAGTTCTCAGCAAAACACTGGGAATCCTCTTTGAACTGTAAGGAGTTCACCAGAGGCTGACCACATCCTTTCAAACGTTTCATCTTCATCCACTATCCTGAGCATCAGGGCTATTCACTTGCTGTGTCCTTCAGATGGGGCAACACAGTTTGATGGGTGGGGTATTATTATTATTCCTTCAACTCCCATCAGCCCCAGCTAGCATGGCAAACGAAGATCTAACTTGCAATCCAGTGACATTTGGAATGCATCTTACTGGCTACCTTTGATATGTTCACTGTCTTTTTATTTCTAATAGAGTTTTGTTCAGTAGTGTAGTGGCAAATTCAGGAATGCAGGGTCTGCTCCTGCTGATCACAGCCATACGCCTTCAGAGGCACATGCCTTCCATAATGATTCAATAAGCTTATAATTATACAGTTAGGGATGCATTGCCATAATCAATGCAGGTCTCCATGAGTTGCCATTCAGCTAGATCTACTGTTTTCTGTACATGTACATGGGCAAATGTTTAGGAGCACTCTGGTATCTTATTCGGCAGAGACTTAAGTTGCACTTTCCATGAAGTTCCATTGTACATAACAGACCCTTTGCATCGTTTTCTTGAAATGGATTCACCTTGTATTTTCAGTGTTCCTAAATCCCTAGTTTTGGAGTAGACAGTGGCTAGAAAGCTCCTCTTTCATGGAGATTGAGTAGCTCTAGGACGCTGGAGACAGGGACCCTGCTGCAGAAATAGTAATCAGTCTTTGACCCCCCTGCAACCCTGGATCACTACAAGACTGGTTGTATTCTGTCTTTCTTCTATTGAACTCAAGGTGGCATATCTAGGATTTCTGAGTGGTCCATCAATATTTAGACCAATGACCAGACCTAGGCCTGCTTAGCTTCAGCTCAGCGGCTTTGTCCAGACCAAACCCTGATCCTCCTCTGTACGCCACTTCTGTTTATCGCTATTATTCCTGGCAGGAATTTGGAGCAATGATGAGGAGCTACACCATTCCACCATCCCTGCCAACATACAGCATCCTGCTGGAGGGAGAGAACATGAGCCCGTCTATGGGGATACTGAGAGATGACCTCCTGAACGTGTGCATGAGACATGTTGAGAAGATCTGCAAGGCAGACCTCAGCAGGAACTTCATCGAGAGGAACCACATGGAGAACGGTAAGGGGAACTTATTCCACTTGGCCTTTTAATTCAGTTTAGAAGCGGTTCAAGGTGCTGCCTCCCCTTGAGGAAGGCCCCTATCCTGTCTGTTTCTGAGATTACAGTGCCATCTCCTATACGCACCTTTACTGAGAACATTTCTTTGTATTCATTGGGCTTACTTCTGAGTAGACATGCACAAGATTGCACTGAGAAGTTATTCACTGCCTTTGGTCTTTTATCATTTGAAGTTAACTTGGAGCTCAAACTTGCAAAAACAATTGTAGAACTTTTCCTCTTTATTTGCCCAGAGCAAAGGCATCCTTCCTGTACACTTTTTTATTTTTCAAAAAAGTCTTTATTATTTCACCCTTCAATACAAAGATTCCTCAACCAGCTCAAAATACAATATTTTTTAAAAACCACCAATAATATTATCCAAACCAAAACTAATGATAAAAGTTCTGTAGATGAAATGTAGGTGAGGCTGCATAAAAGCAGAGCTTAAACCACAGTTCTAAGAGGCCTGGGATTTTATTTTATTTTTTAAGTTATCTCACCTAGTGACAAATGGAATTTATTTATTTATCTATCTATCTATCCAGTCATTCTTTCATTCTTATATCTCACCCTTCCTCCAATCTGGAGCTCAGGGTGGCAAACAACCAATAGAGAAGCAATTATGCAAAATAAGACATCATGTAAACCACAAAGTTGCAGCAGCAGCAATTCAACAGCAAATAACATCAGTAAAAGCTTCACCAGAAAATGGTTTGCCTCATTATACAAATGCCTGGCCGGTGTAAAAATATTTACAGCCTCCCTGTAAAAACAGCATTGCTTACCTTTACCCCTCCATCTTAAGACACAGGATGCCTTAAGTGAACAGCTGAGACTTCAAAGTGCAATACTTAATAAATCATGCATCAATTTAGCTAATCAGTAACGGTGGAGCAATAAAAATGCAACAAATACAGCAGAATAATCACATCCAATAAATGGAATGTAGTGATTTCACTTGGCTATTATGGCTAATAGCCACCAATAAATTTCACCTTCATGAGTTTGTCTAAGCCAAGAGTGGGGTACCTGGGGCCTTCCAGGTGTTGATGGACCCCAACTCCCATCAGCCCCAGTCAGCATGGCCAATAATCAGGGATGATGGGAATTGAAGTCCAAAAACATCTGGTTGGCCGCATGTAGGAATGAAAGAATCTACCAATTTCAGTTTCTCTCGTTTTCTTGTTTTCACCTGTCTTATGTTCGATTTGCCCCACTTCTACATCAGTTTGCATTTTTTTTAAAAAATCTACATGAACATTTTTTATATATTTTGTGCACACACATCCCAACACACACAGTCCTGCACATTCCTTTTGCCTAGTGTATACATTTCTGCAAGTTATCCCTCTAACATAACACATTCCGGTGCATTACTTCCATTAATATATATACTGTTGTGCACACTTTCCACTAACACATGCAGCTCTGGGTTGACGAAGTATATCGCATAATTCAGAGCAGTGCAATTTTGAAGGACAGCTGTGCTTAGGTTTTCGTGTTGGTTCAGGATCATGCGGATCAGCATTAAAGTGTAAACTGATAAAAATCTTTTTCCCAACCCAACACTCAGTTTCCCTGGCACACACACCCCCAACACTACACCCCTGAGTGGTTAGAGTGTTGGACTAAAACCTGGGAGAACTGAGTTCAAATCCCCACTCAACCATGAAGCTTACTGTGTGACCTTGGACCAGTCACTGCTTCTGAGCTTGACCTACCTCACATGGATATGTAGGACATGTTGAATTTTTCAACTTTCAAATTCCAAAAATGAGGTGTGCTAAAAAGTTGTGACATGACTTGGGAATTTGGAATATATTTTGCTTAAATTAATATTGTTTAATTTTGCTTGCTAAGTAAAAAGTGTGGAGAATTGCATAGAAATCATTAAAAATGATTGCCAAGTACTTGTAGTTTTATTAATTATTTTTATTTAGCATTACCTGACAAAATTTTAAAAAAGGTAAAATTAAAATTATTTGGTTTTCAAAAACTAATTTATGTGCTTCTTCATCAAAGGTAGACTTGCCAAGCTAAATGTTGTCCAGTCACAAAAACAATAGATTTGAATTCCTCAAAACATTGCCCCAAAACATATTGTTAAGACCCCTCACTGATTCCACCCCCCCAAAAAAAATTAAGTTTCACCTACTAAAATGGCACTTCTCACATGTGGCAGAAATTAAGCAAGAAGTGGGAGAACAGTGTACACCCCCTTGAGGTTCTTAGAGCAGAAGGTGGGATATAAATTAATTAAATAAATAAATGGACAATGCGGTGACCATCAATACATAGATCTTCAATTAAACATATAAATTAATATAAGCACCCAAGATTTCCAAATAGGTAACCACATGAAATTGACACCTGCATGAAATATGTTTGCAAGTAGCCAGGTCTGTGAGATCCTCAGACCATAGAGGGTGGGGATATATCCTCAAAGTATAATTCTCCTATCCAACACAAGGGCTGATAAGGGGCTCATGAAGCACAAAGTTGTTTTGCTCTGTAAATGACTTGCTTCCCTTTGTCAAAACCGAACTGACTGCCAATTCATTTCATCCAAAATTATCCTTTACAGCACAAAAGGGAAATCGTCCATTCAGATGTCAGTGTTAAAACATCCATGGCATTTTGTTTTGGCTGCAGTTACATTCTTTCCCTGCTGATGCTGTGAAACTGTGCTGTGCAACACAGTAGTTCTTAATCATTGCTTATAATTCATGTAATTTCTGGCCCCATGAAAACTGCTGACAGTTGCGAGATGTATTACCCACTTTTTTTAAAAAAAAACCCAACCCAATAATGTAGGGAATATAAGGCCTTAATCTGTTTCATGTCTCAGATACATATCTGTAAAATGGAGAGAATATTTCTCCACATCACGAGGAGTTGAGAAACCAAAAATATGAATTAACTCTTGGCAGCTCCCAGTCCTGAGAACCAGATAGATGCCTAGATAGATCATCACTGGGCCTCCAGACACAATCTACTTTGCCCAGGGCAGAGGGGCTGGCATTTATGTGAGAGTAATGACTCTCACCACCTTTCCGTTTGCGTTGGGAAGATGAGGAGTCAGAGAAAGGCTTCTATCGCAGGGAAAGGTCTTTGATGTGGCTCTTGATGAAGGTTGCTATGGAAACCCCAGATCTTTATCATTTCATTAAGATCTGTATCAAACATGCCTCTGTTTGTTCCTTGGCAAAGGGTCTTACAAATCTCTCTAGGCTTCAAACACATCTAACGTGCCAGAGACATGCTGAAACACTCTGGTGCAATAATAAGATACAAGGAAGCAGATCAAACATAGAACTGGGCTGAGTGCAGTCATGGGTACAATCTAATCTAGCTTCCTGAGCCAGCATTTTAAAATACCCCCAATTTAAAACTGAAGATCAAGAAGGGTGCTAGAAAGGGAAGGAGGCGTATTTGGGCAGCATGTGTATCAGGAACAACAAACCTGTGGCTTTCTGGATACTGAGGGTCTCCAGCTTCCATCAAGGTCAATGATCAGAGACTTGGGAGCTGTAGTCCAACAAGCAACTGCTGCATGGCCATGCATTAGTTTTCAGGACAGATCCCACACAAATCAGCAAAAGGCCAAAGGGGATCTTGAACCGTAAGGAAGTATTAAGCCTCTGGAATCAGTAGCAGAATAAAGGCCTGCACTGAAGGGACCTTTTGTAGTTGTGTAGGAAGGGAATTTCATAACTGTGGGGCCACCACTGACAAGGTCCTGTGCTTGTGAACTTAGTAGACTGTACTTGTGGGCCTCTGCAGCTGATTTTAAAATATGGGGTGCAGCTCATCTGAGTGAAGGTGGTCCTTGAGTTAAGCCAGCCCCCAAATGTTTAGGACTTTTAAGTAGGAACTAGGAACCTGTGGCCCTACAGATGTTGTGGAACTACAACTCCATGATCCCTGACAAGGGCTGAAGTCCAACAGCATCTGTAGGGCCACAGGTTCAACACCCCGGTGGACAACCCTAATGGGTTTATTTTATGCTCTGTCAAGAGGAAAGAGCAGCCTATGACCCCAGGGAGCTTGTTGTACCACCCACAATAACTTCATCCCAAATCCACAGGAGCCAATATTCACACAGCCTCACCTTTCCTGTCTGTAAAATGGTGACAAGATTACTGGCCTGCCTTATAAGGCTGCTGCAGCAGTTGATGAGATAATGTGGTCAAAGCACTGGAAATTTTTTTTTAACCCACCCCATAATTATATTATTAGTACCAGGGACAAACTAATATATGAGACATAAGTTCCATTTATGAATTTTCCATTGCCACTGTGGATAAGTATATCTATAGTGCTATTCATGTGCATGGATCTTTGCAACACATAGTAGTTGCACTTTTAGTTGACCCATTGAAATGGATGTACTTATGCTGATCATGTATTTTATTCTGTGAACCACCCTGAGATATTATGATGAATGGCAATATATAAATCTAATAAAGAAATAAATAAAATAAATCATTTCTATTAACTTCAGTGGGTCTACTCTGAGTAGGCCTAGGACTGTCTATAACCCTATGGTTTGTTTTTGGTTGTTGTTGTTTTACTCAAAGCAGTATTGAGGTGCCCCAGTGTGTTCCCCCATCACAAACCATTTCCATTTCCACTGACTGTAGAAGAGGAAAGCATACTGATGATTCCCCCTCTGCAATTAATAGTAGCTTTGGAAAGTGAGAAATTTATGTCAGGAAAATGAACCCAGTTTGGATCAAGGCATGATGAGTGGCTTTTATAAAAAAGGAAAAGAATTTGGAAGCTGTATTCAGGGATCTCCCACATCACATTAAGCTTAGACTTTATTAGACCAAACATATCTCCTGATGTTGCTTCTTAGTGAAGGTTATGGAAATTGCCGTTCTTTTTGGATGGATGTAGAGCCTTCTGCATCAAGAGAATTTATACTTTCCAAATAAATTACCAGGATTATTTTTTCTTTCCCTGATGGCAAAGTATTCAGAGACTTGGGCCACATCCCTAAAACCACCACCACAACAAAAATAATCCCCTTTTGACTGTGCCTCAGGATGAGGGAGAAAAGGGATTCAGTTTGCATTTAAAAGTGAACACACTTTCTGAAGCAATGCATGAACCAAAACACACCCATCCTTTGAAATTCACACTTCTCTGAATTTTGCAACGTAATTCTCCACTCAAGTAATATGTACAAAAATACATACAGTGGTACCTCTGGTTACAGATTTAATTTGTTTCGGGGTGCCGTGTGCACCCCAAAAAATCTGTAGCTAGAGGCGCCACTTCTGCACACGTGCGCAGTGCGACAGAGCACTTCTATGCATGCGCACGTCATGCAGAGCACTTCTGCGCATGTGTGAGTGGCAAAACCCAGAAGTATACACTTCCAGGTTTGCCATGGCCATAACCCGAAGATTCTGTAACCTGGAGGTTACGCAACACGAGGTACCACTGTATACTGGAGTAAAATGTGCATAGGAATGCATATATTTGTGGAAATGTCATCCAACGCTCCCACCATCATATTAAGGAAAATTGCTTTGCAAAATTGCCTATATTAAAGGGGAAAGGCATACAAAAATATGTATATTGAGATAAATTTACACTAAAATGCTGGTGAATGTTCACGAGGGCCTTTTTTTTCTAATGGCAAACTCTGGAGAATTTAACTTAGGGTTGGAAAAGAGAATTCAAAATGGACAGAATCACTCATCCCTAATTGACCCTTCACATAATAAAACCAAATCTGAAAGGTACTAAAGTAGAAGGGTTTCTTTTTAAGAAGTCATGTGTCCAGTTTAGGAGAGAAGGGTTGCATCATCCACTGCCATCCACCTACACACACCCAAGACAAAACTCTGTTTGCTCCACCTACTTCTGTTCTACAAAAGAAAGGGGAACTTTAGCACCTGGTTCTGTAAGTGGTGTCTCATTCAGAGATGCTACAATGCAATTTTCACAGCTGGCCAAGTCTCTGGGGAGTTGCAAAGAGTGCAGATAAGTGGATGCCTCCTCCAGCAAGGGTTGGAATAGCAGAGAGAAGGCAGAAGGAAGGGAACTCTGCTGGGATTGATAATAGATGTTAGTAGGTGGTTGTAAAGTACAGGTTAGGTCACAAAATGCCAGCTTCTGTGAAATACGGTTTCCTCCTGATCAGTGGGATTTCTGCATGGGGACACTCATTAGATCACACAGGGCACAATCAGATGACTTCTGAGTTTGAACCATTGATGCTTCCCAGTGACAGATGCCTCAATGACAGCCTAGAAGAAAGACCTGAGTTTCCCTTCAGACTCAGCTTTGTACATCCTCTTTAGCCATTTCTGCATAGTTTTGGCTAAGCCAAGAGAATGGCTTTTCTTTTTTGAGTCTGAATGCCACATTCCTTGGTGGGCAACCTTCTCAAGGACTGCAGACCCTTACCCTTGTATGACAGGTGATATTTGAGTTTGTTGGTGTTTAAACCTGAGCCTGCCTAATTTTCAGTTTCTAAATCAACCTGTTTGTCAAAATGAAGCTTTGAAATGTGGGGATTTTGCAGTTCAGTTCTCCAACTTCACAATGCACTAGATTAAGCAGCTGCATCAAAACAAACTTATTAGTGAAAATAACCAACAAAGATGCATTTGAGTAGGGGAAAATGCTTGGGGAAAATGGGCACATGAGTCAGATTGGCATATATAAATGCACTTTTTATAAAGTCATACTAAGAGGCTGGTGAATTTTCATGAGGATTTTGCTGCAGAATAACCACAAATTTCTGCAGGAATGTGGAGGACTGAATTTAAGGCTGAAAAAATAAGAAAGTGAAAGAACCAAAACTGACATATCCTTCTACCCTGACACACACAAACTTACACTTCTTGATCCTCCGTCCAGGCAAGCAAGAGGAATTATGACAATTCAAAGGCACATTTTAGCCAGGCAAAATAACTCAAGGAGGTTGAGGGTCCTGGCTCCTGACTTAAGGATCCCCAGCTCTCTCAAGAGCCAATAACCAACCACAACCTTTGCTCCATGTGCCGGGTACATGCAACTCAGCCCTTGATCCTGCTGTCATCAAGTAGCAAACATCTAAATGTGTATCACAATCGCAAAAAGAACTTTGTGTACCTGATAAGTCTTCTGGGGTTCAGCTTATCAGTCTAGACCCAGGGAGCTACTCCTTGTTTCTTTGCTTTTCCTTCTTGTCTTATGGTTTTTATCCCCCCCCCCCCATTTCTGCTATGAACTTTCAGGCGATCACCGTTTCATGATGAACAACTACTCTGACTGGAACCAGCCAGACAGCATGAAGAGGTTCTCCATGTTCCTGAATCCAAAAGGTATGAAGCAGAGGGTAGCCAAAACTACCTGCCTGGTTACCAGTTTTGTTGGTGTGAGTGTTGTGAACTGATACAGCTTTATATATCAACCGTCCCAAATCTCCAGATCTTGATGGACCACAACCCTCATCAGCCCCAACCAGCATAGTCAATGGTCAGGGGAATGATGGAAGTTGGAGTCCTCCAACACCTAGGAAACACAAGCTTAGAGAAGGCTGTTTTATACTCATGGAAGGATCTGTGTTGTTTCAACGTTCAGCACCCTTCCCCGCCTTGCCATGTACTTTTTCTCAAGGCCATTTTCTTTCCTCTCCTGTGCCCCCCTGGCTTCATTTGCCCTTAGTGCCATTTCATCTGATTTGTTGACTGGCAACTAATGATTTTTCATGGAATGCTAGAGTTTTTGGAGTCCTTTGGAGGCCATCTAGTCTAATTTCACTGTGCGGTGCAGGAAATCCAGAGATCAGGACTATCCTCAGCAACAGGTAGCTGACCACCCTCCGCTCAAAAAACCTCCAGTGAGGGAGAGCCAGGTCATTGCCTCTATTGTTAAATTGCTCTTAACAGCAGGAGGGTTCTAGTATTGTTCAACCAAAACCTACCCTCCTGTAAGTTAATCCCATTACATTCAATCCTGCTCTATGTAACAGTGGAGAACAAGCCACTGGAATTAGTGAATAATTCCCAGCAGGTAGTATAAATTCATTCTTTTGATTTACCCCTGTGTATTTTACTTTGAACATTTCACAGTAGTAGAGAACCAAGCGAGACTTAAATGTCCTCTTCCTAACCCGTTTGGAGGCCTAGATGGCATATAGAGATGATAAATAAAGAAAACCATTTCTTTTGAGGCTATTTCGAACTTCTGATGGCTCTCGAGCAAAGAGCAGCTTAACCTGCTCCACATCTCTCTTCCAAAGCCAGAGTCCCGACATCCCCAAGACAATCAGTCTGAGAGATGGAGCATGAGTGAGTAAATGAATGTAACTAATGGCTACTCAGGGAGAGCTTTGGGTCATTTGGCTCAAAAGCTCCTTTGGTGCACTAAGGAGAAGGATGGACAGTTTCATTCACAGGCTGAACTCTTTCCCCTGCTAAGACTGGGTACATTATTTCTGATTCTAAATCTGCTGATTGGATTGTTTTTAAGATGGCAACACTGGACAGATCCTACTGGTGAGGGGGAAATGTTGTGAACCTGCTGCATTCCCTCTTCTCCAACCAATAACCAAACCAATAAGCAAAAGTTTGAAAATGTTAGAGGGAGGTTTGCATAAAGCGCCTATATTAGTGAAAATAGCATACAAAAAAATGTAGGTGCACATTAGGGGAGATTGTGTGTGAACTAAAATGATGGTGAAAATTGAGGACTCCCCCCCCAAAAAAAAGAAATAAGTGCAGTGATGCAGAAATTGTGCCAAACTGAACTGAAGACTGAAACTGAAATAGATAAGTCCACCCCTAGCGAATCCTCAGTCATCTAATTTGTTTTCACACCAACTAATTACTTAACTGAATTCTCTCATCTAGGAGGAAACTACAACACCAGAGCCTGGGAATTTTCTGCCTTGCAGACTGCAGAGGAGTCCATTACAGCAGGGAACTCTGCTTACTCCCTGAAAGGTACTACTCTTCACACCTTCAATGCTGCCGCTGGTGGTGCACCACTCCACCTTACCCTGTCAATTCCCTTTTACAGAGTTGCTATCTTTTCATTCACCTCTGGGGCCATAGCAGCTTAGCAGGAGAGCATCTGCTTTGCAAGCTGATGGTCCCGGGTCCAACCCCTCAGTGCTTTCATTTAAAAAGAAAAAGCATGAGCTAGCAGGACCTCCCAAAAACCACTGCTGCCCAATGCTGGTGATTTAGAGCCCCTGAGAGGGCTGAGAAAGTCTGGCAGGCAGTGTGGAGTAGAAAGTCAGAATGGGTTCTTTAGTTAGAATCCTGAAAATTAGGACAGTCAGGGGTAGTAGACCTTTGAGGACCTCAGGCAGAACCCAACGAGCAGAGGAGTTGTTCCAACAAGAGCACTGACTCAACTGAGCCCTTTGATGCTCCCTAGGCATGACAGCTCATCTCAGGCTCCACCCTCCTGCTGAAGAATGCAAATCCTTAAAGGGCCTGGAGCACAGCACACCCTCACCTGCCCATGACCTTGAGCTAGACACTCTGCATGTGTTAGCAAGCAGACCCATCGGAATGCAAGGACTTTAGGGATGAAAATGCACATCCCCAGAATGAATCAGGCTTGGGGCTGATATTCTCTACAGGTCTAGATTTAGAGGTCTTGGGTCCAGGAGTCTTGGGCTTGTGGGAAGGATCTCTGGTTGCTCAGCTAAGGCTCAATGTCTCCGTGGTCAGTGCCATTAGGTTTTCACCATTTGTACCTGTGTCTAGGTCAGAGCTGGACTTTGGATCATTAGAGTAGACCGGCCTTCCCCAGCCTAGTGACCCAAAGCTGTTTTAGACTCCAACTCCCATCAGCTGCAGGCAGCATTTCCAGTGGTCAGGTATGATGGGAGTTGTAGTTCAGTTATCTGAAGGTCCCATAGTTGGGGGAGGCTGGAGAAAATAGTCTTGGTCATGCTCTTTCTCCAGCTATCCACTGGAAAAGAATGGATACATTCTCTTATAATACCGGAACTTGGGATCATAGAATTGTAGAGTTGGAAGGGTCCATGAGTGTCATCTAGTCCAACCCCCTGCAATGCAGGAATCCTCTGCCCAACGTTGGGCTCAAACCGTGACCCTGAGGTTAAGAATCTCATGCTCTGCTGACTGTGCTATCTCCATCATCCTACAAAGATGTCTATTGGAAGATTCATGACAAAAAAAAAAAAAGGAAGTACTAAGTATTTCTTCACACAGCACATAGTTAAACTATGAGGTTCACTCCCACATGGTGTAGTAATGGTGGCTATAATGGCAGTTTAGACAAATTCATGGAAGAGTAGGCTATCAATGGCTACTAGCTACACCAACTATGTTCTACATCCGCTATCAGATGCAATAGGCCTCTGAATACCAGTTCCTGATACTCACAAGTGGGGAGAGTGCTGCTGTACTAAGGTCTTTCTTGAAGGCTTCTCATGGGCATCAGGTTGGGCACTGTGATAAGGAGATGCTGGACTAGTTGGGCCTTTTGGACTGATCCAGCAAGATTCTACTTACGTTCTAAGATGAAGCAATGATCTGACACAGTATAAAGCTGCATCATTAACCCTCAGAATATGAGCTATGGAAAAGTTTCTTGCACAGATGTAAGATGAAAGGATCCATTCACTTCTCTGTGTTGGTCTCCCATTGGCGCCCCCTACTTCTCCTCCCATCCCAAAGTTGCGACTTAATTTGGGGACCAACTCTTATTTTTTTTACACAATCACTCTGTCCGTTACGTGTTCCGGTATATACCAGTATTCATTATTTATTGGGAACAAGGCAGTTTATGAAGACAACATGCCTCCTCTCTCCTCATTTCTCTTGTTTCCCCATGTCAGTGTAGCATGGTTCAGAAATTGAACATGCATGGAGAAGGGAGCAGAATTCTGCTCATTTACTCCATACACACCTCCAGGGCCATATTTAAGTGCATATAAGCTGTACACACATAGGTTCTGTCTGCACTTCTGGGGATCTACTCAAAGGTCCCACAGTCTTGTAGATGGAGCCTGCCCATGTACAGTTTGTACAGATATTGACTCTCTCAGTTATCAGAGGGCCTTCTCGGTAGTGGCCCCCTCCCTGTGGAACACTCTCCCATCAGATGTCAAGGAGACAAAGAGCTACAGAACTTTTAGAAGACATCTGAAGGCAGCCCTGTATCAGGAAGCTTTTAATGTTTGACATTTAATTATGTTTTTATATGTGCTGAAAGCCACCCAGAGTTGCGGGGCAACGCAGCCAGATGAACAGGGTTTAAATAATAAAATCATTGTTATTTATCATGTCAGTTATATGTTGGAGTCAGTGAGTGGCCCCCAGTGGGAAGCAGCTGACCTGACCTCCCTGCGGTTGAGTTGCTGCTGCATACCGGGATGGAAATAGGGAGGGACAAGGTGGCAGTGAGGTTGGCAGGCTGGAAACAAGCCAGTCGAGCCAATCTGGTGCTCTTGCTGGTGAATTTGTACCATGCCGACCCCTTCCTTACCTCCCTCCCAGTATGCAGCAGTGACTCAGTGGGAGGAAGGTCAAGCAAGCAATGCAATGCCCTGTGCCATTCACTACAGCAATTGTTCACAAACTCGCTCCCTGCTTCAGGCCCATTCAGATGAACCTGTAAATACTGGTGGGAGCATCTCTTGGTGAGTGCACACTGCAGTTTGTTACGGCTCTGTGCAAGCAGCTACACCGAATCCCTGCATCACCATTTAGCAAACATTACACGAAACAACACCGGGAGGTGGCAAAGACAAATTACCACAAAGGATCCTTCCAGGGCATTGTAAACCAGACCTTATTGTGTGAACGCATCCATAAATACAAGTCAGTGAGTCCCAGAGCAGGATACGCAGAGAGTGCAAGATGGAGAGGCCCTGTTCCAGCAAAGCCTTATGCACAGCTCTGCACAGGGTAAAAATTCAAATTGAGAAGGATTTTTTACAGGAATGTGCAAGCTAATTATGGTAATGCCAGAAATTAAAGCTAACACTCAATTAAAGAAATCTTAGCCAAGTACACACATGTTTTACTCAATTAATTGATAAATAATTGACAACAAGTGGATATATTTGCATATGGATAAAAAGAATAGTTCTGAGGAAGAAGCATCCATACCCACTTTTTAAATGAATCACGGATATGTCGGTATGTCAGTACAGGGATCATCTCTGAAGTTTTCTTTCCTTTGAAAGAGAGAAGATGGGAGGTGCTTCTTTTAAAACAGTGCTTGTCTTCAGTTTTTAAAACTATTATCACCACCATCATCTGCTGGACAATTTATCAGAGACACCTCTTTAGTTGTTAAAACAGTTTTTGAAAAGCAATTAACCTAACTGATTAATCAATTAAATATTGTACTTCTAGTGGCAGAAATCTTTGCAGGATGAGGTCCAGGACCCATGTATTCTGCATCACTGGAAAATTTGAGGAGAACTTGGCATCAAGGTTCATGCCAGTGAACGCCACAGAAATTTGTTTCTTATCCATTGTTTCTTGATTCCAGTGGAGTTCTTCTTGCTCTCAATCCTGCTTTTATTGAAGAAGCGACACCCAAATTGTGGGCTATATGCTCCCCCACCACTTCTTAACTCAAAGAAGTGTGTGCCTCCTACTTAGTTACTCCTGCATTGGAGCAGATTCATCCTGTCTTTGTGCCTATGGTAGGGACTATTGCTGATTCCGCGATCTGCAGTCCTGGCGCAGAGGCTCACAGGATCTGGCCAAAATGTGCAGAGATTTGTGGAGAGAAGCATTTTCTACTCCACCTCAATGTAATGTTGCTTCTTCTATTTTCCAGTGGGCAATGGGACCAAGATGCCTTATCAGTTCCCCCCAATTGGCCAGAGTTCACCGGGAGATTTCAGCAAGCAGTCCGACGGGAGCCTCTATACCAAGAATGGTACTTTCAGGGCTTCTATGAGTTCTTCCCCCTCTACTTTCATCCTCTCTTTCTGTCTTTTCTCTGGGGAGATATTCATTCCAAATGCCCCAGTCTGACCTGGCTGCATTGGAATTGCTGTGCTTTTCAGTCTTATGTTTAAACAAGGTGTCCCTCTAACTCTGGAATGCACCCAGCGGCATGCAAGGGAGGTTCTTCCGGGAATAATAACCACAGATGCCTTGTGTCTCCTCCAGCTTACCCTTCCATTGTGAGGCACCAAGCCACTAAGGTGCAACCTCAGACATGGAAGTCCTCCAAGCAGAGCATGCTGGTAAGTCATTAGAACTGAGCTTTTCACACCTTCCACCCAAAAGGCCTTCTGGGCTGCAACCCTAACCCTACTTACCTGAAAGTAAGCTCTGTTTAACTGAGTGGGATTAAGAGCATAAGAACATCTGTTAGGGAGTCTTTAATCATAATTCCTGAATTGCAGCGGGTTGGACTACATGACCTCTGCGGTCCCTTCCAACTCTACAATGCTATGTTTCCATAAGAAGAGTCCTGCTGGATGAAGCCAAAGGCTTATCTGCAGTTGGGCATCCTGTTCATACAGTGGCCAACCAAATGCTCTAATGGGAAGCCCACGAGCACAACCACACTCTTCTCACTTGTGATTCCCACCAACTGGTATTCAAAGTCATACTGCCTTCAACAATGGAGACAAAATACATGCATAGGTTGCACTGTAAATCGAGGACAGGGGTAGAAGAACTCCCCCTGTCCATTTACTATTATTTACAGAATTTCCATGTCACCTTTTCCCAACATGAAATCTCCTAAGAAAGTCACAGTATGACAACCACCTTCATCAACCATCAGAAAGTGTTGTTGTTGTTGTTATAGCTCTAAAAAATGCAACTGTTCCCAAAACAATACACAGATAAATGGTCAAGAACAGAGACAAATGTGCTAGTTGTCCTAGCTTTTGAAAGGAGTAAGCAATTATTCACCTACATCTGAGAGGATGACAGGGATGGAGCCATGAAGGTCTCTGGTGGGAGGGCATCCCAAAATTCTGGAGCTAACTGCAGCCTTACATTGGCTGACCAGGCATGAAATATGGGACTCTCCACCTCTCTGGAGGAGCTAGCTGGCTGGTTAAATGGCCCTCATTCTATTTTGTAGATGTTGGCTTCCGCAAGGGAGTGACAGGTCTGTGTCCTCTGGTCAGGAGGGTTCTGAATAAGCTACTGGTGCTTACCCACCAAGAAAGTATCCTGAACTTCATCTGAGTCCTCAGCTGTGCACTGCAAAGCCCTCAAGTCATGGATTTCCCAAAGCGGTTCCACAAGAATACTAGTTATCAAATAGGGCTATAAAGTGATAAAACACCAGCTCTGGTACAATATCCTACCTCCCCCTCTGCTCTTTCTCACGTGCTTCACATCTACAGAGGAGAAAACAGCAGCACGATTCCATAGACAACTCAGGATTTAGAGAAAGTGATTAAGGAGGATCAAAGAAAGAGATAGTGGCTAAGCTCTGTTGATGAAGAGAATCTTGATTGTCGGCTGTTGTTTTTAATAAAAATAATTAACTGCATGGCATTCAGAGAGAAGGCAGGAGGCTTGCAAATTTCACCATTCTTGGAACATGACAGTTTGGCCTAAGCCTTTCAAAATTATGAAGAAGAAAAAATATCCTGAAGCTACTTGAGAACACTGATATCTGCAGCCTGTATGAGGTGGAACCTTTGGCCCTCTTGCCTGCCTAATTGTTTATATGGATAGGAGGGATGGAAGGGACATTGCTCAGTGGTGGAGCATCTCGTCTGCATGCAGAAAGTCCCAGGTTCTGCCCCTGGCATCTCCAAACAGGGCCAGACAAGACCTTGCCTGAAGCCATGGAGAGCCACTGCCAGCTACTGAAGACAGTATTGAGCTAGCTTGCTGTTTCCCAAACTTGGGTATCCAGCTGTTTTCAAACTACAGTTCCCATCATCCCTGACCACTGGTCTTGCCAGCTCGGGATGATGGGGGTTGTAGTCCAAAAACGGCTGGAGACCCAAGTTTGGGAAACACTGAGCTAGATGGATCATTGATCTTACTCAGTATAAGGCAGCTTCTTGTGATGGCTCCCAGGGGATGGAGGTGTTATCCCTGGTTCAGATGCCTGATCCAATCACCCAAGTAACTTTTTCTGACCCCCTACAAGACCCCACTGATTTTGGGTGGAGTGTGTTGGGGAATAAATTAGACACAGAACTGTGTAGTGGAGCCGAGCACCCTGTTGGGGATGGCAACCAGCCCATCCTTGCTTAGCAGAGCAATCATTTTATGACTGGAGTGGGCATTAATCTCCTCCTCCACAAATCTGTATGGGTATGTCCTGTGTGTGTGCAAGAGAGTATGTGAAAAAAGAATGTGGAGTAATCACATATACTTTGGGCAATGCCTGCCACTGGCTTCCTGGGGATTGACCAAGGTTGAATGCAGTCCTTAGTCCCTTGCTAGATTATCTGGGCCATTTTCATCTCAGTTGGCCACCCAAACTGGGAATATGCTCTAGAGTCTCCTGCACCTCCAGAGGGAACTACATCTTGTTCTCAATTGGGCCTGGAGTCCAGGAAGGACCGCAGCTCAGTGGCAGAAATTCTGCCTAGTATGCAGAAGGTTGTGGACTCAATTCCCAGTGGCTGAAAGTTGAAAGGCCCTGGAAGTGTGTTATACTGAAACAGACCTTTGGTCCCTCTAGCTCACTCTTTTCTGACTGAAAGTGGCTCTCCTGGGCTTCAGATGGGGAGCACTTTCAGCTCTGCCTGGTGATGTTGGGAATCATATCAACTTGCAAAGGATGTGTTTCTCACCTGAGATGGATCTTACTTGGATCTTGGAGCTACCCCTGTTGCTAGAGTAGCTGGCCTCTTTAACTGATGGGCCTCCAAGTTCTAGGGATATACAAAGCTGTTTTATGCTGAATCAGGACCTTTGTACAGCTAGCACAGTCTTGCCTACGCTGAATGGCAGAAGCTCACCTGGGGACGTTCCCAGTCCTATCTGGAGATGCTGAAACAGGTTACAGCCCTAGCAACTGCCCAGCTCCACCATCTTCCTGCACTAACGATGCTAAGTTGACCTTCTACGTATATTCAGCAGCTAGAGCCATTTGGTCCTTGAATTGCAGTTATACCCAAAAGCAAACAATCAGGCTGATAAATAAAGAGCATTAAATGTCCCAGAATAGATGTACTTCCACTGGACTGCCGAGACTCGGCAGGAGCTTTTATGGTCTACTGGGCCAATAATCCTGCTTTTAAAGCTGCTTTAAATATGTATTTGAGTAATCCAGTCCTTAGAAAAAGGCCTATAAACATGAGTCCTAGCAGCCAGTGGCACGGCTTGAGGAGGCCTGTCCCACCAGCCCATTGAGGGTTATTTAAAGGGTAGCTGATTCCCCTCTTTAATTAGGTACAAAATTGGCACCATAAAGCAAATGGCTTTAATACTCCAGGCAGTGCTGAACAGCAGGAACTTGGAGGGAGAGTGATGCCGAGTGAAAGGGCAGGTGGTTCCTGTCCACCACCCATTGCAAACACTTCACAATCAGCATAAATCTTTTTTTAACCAGCTGGGTTATTAGGAATGCTGCTAATACAGTGGGGTTTGCATCTAACCACCTCTCTTTAAGATAGGAAATTCACTGGATCAAAAAATTCCAAAAATGAAAGACTGCTGTTACGAGCAGGAATGGGTTTATCCGTCATTTTCAGTTTCTCTTGATTTCTCATTCTTCCAGTTCTAAGTTTAGTTCTCCACATTGCCACAACAGTTTGCGAATATGTATATCTTTATTCGCAAAAAAAAATTCTCATGACTAATACACATAATCTCCCAATAGACACACATTTGTATGCAATGTTTCTTAATCTATGCACTTTTGCAAAGGATTTTCTCCCCATATACTGCATTTTCCCATGTCATTTTCAAGAAATGTGCATTTATATGCATTTTTGTACACATCACTTGGCCGGAGAACTGCATTGCAATATTTAGAGAAACGCAATTTTCAAAGGATGTATGTGTTTCGCTTCCCATATCGTTTTGGAAAGTATTCACTTTTAAACCTGGACTGAATCAAATTTCACGAGCTGTTCCTTGTTACCATTTTGATCCAGTTATTTCACATTACGCAATCTGGCTCAAGACTGACTGTGACAGATCTTTGTCAACAACTGTCACAGTTACAACAATGCATCTCGGAACCAAGCCTTGTGAGGAATGGTTGAAGGAGCTGGGTCTGTTTAGCTTGGAGAAGAGAAGATTGAGAGGTGCTCTGATAGTCTTCCTCAAATATCTGAAGGGACAGATGGACAATGGAGCAAGCTTGTTTTCTGCTGCTCCAGAGGGTAGAACCTGAACCATTGGATTCAAATGACAAGGAAAGAGATCCTGACTGAATGTTATAAAAGTTTCTGCTTTGACCATGAAATGGACTCCTTCAGAAGGTGGTGGACTCTCCTTCACTGGAGGGTTTTAAAGAAAGGTTGGGTGGCCCTCAGTCAGGGAAGCTTTAACTGTGATTTCTGCACTGGAGGGGTTGAACTAGATGACTCTTGGGGTACCTTTCAACTCTACAAATCTATGAGTCTATGATAATAATTTGCATACACAGGACCTTATAGAGTTTGATGAGCTGTCTCTCCTTGCAGTTCCATTTGGCAAGGAGGAGGGCAATGGGTATCAGATATGCAGAAGGCAACAAGTCTATCCGTCTGCTTCTTAATCTAAAATCACCCTGTTTTCTTCTTCTTCTCCATTTGCAGTCCCACTACCGCCCCTTCTATGTCAACAAGGGCAATGGAGTCACTTCTAATGAAGCACCTTGATCCTAGACGATTACAAGAGGAGTCTGTTGTGCTAGGAGAGGAAGAACATATGAAAATTTTCATGGATGTCTCTACTGCTGCTGCTGTATTAACCATGCTGTTTTAATCTTTTTTCTTTCTTATTTTTTTGTAATTGATGGGAGGTGGAGAATGGTGCTCTAGGAAGAAGATGCAGTAGTGCATGCCCCATTCTAGGAGGGAATGAAGACCGTCTCCCTAGCTGTATTAGGGCACCGTCATGTTATTCTTGGTAACAGCTTTTCAGCCCCTGAGAAAATAACCCCAAATGCAAACCTAGTTCTATAATGCATCCCTTTCCCCCTACCTATCTGCTTAGCTCATGCTAGGTGTCTAGTAGGGAAGATGAAATCTGAGCTGGGCATCACTTTTCTTCCCACCAGAAGGTCTGTGCCACGCCGCTGGAATTCTCAACATAACCACTATTGCTTTCATCCAGCTTTCTGTTTGTTATAACTGCACCCACTCCCATCGGATACGCCCTGTTGACTTTTAATGGAGGCTCTTGCTGTGTAGACGCAACCCCAAAACCTGTTTGCTAATAACAACAGCAATAAAAGAAAAAACCCACAAACTTCTAACAATTCCTTGTTGCTACTTAACCGGGCATGGGCTGTGAATTGATAGGCAAAAGGATGCGTGGTGGCCCATTGATACATACTCCCTCCCTCCAGCCATCCAGCTTCTCAAATATAGAAGAAAGTGGGCGAAATCTATCCTGCTAATGGAAGATTGATTAGATGTCTCAGCTATTCCCTTCCCCTCAACCCTCTGATGATATTGGCTGATATGCTCTGGTTCACTTGTTTTGTTTTATTATCTAGAAGAAGAGTTATTACTGGAAGTTCTGAGATTTATTCTTACAATGCTACAACGGGACTCTCTCTCTCTCTCTCTCTCTCTCTCTCTGTATGTGTGTGTGTGCATGTGCACCTACTGTTGCAAACTGAATCAGTGTGAGGTGACAACCAGGGCAAGGGTGTTGCTGTGGCTTGTACCGTCCTAAACAAAGAGCTACAGTCATCATGGGAACCATTTCACCCAGTCCCTAGAATTGGTACCCAAGCTTGAAGGTCACTGGCCATCTCCTACGAAGTCCTAAGAGCCTCAATCTTCAGTGGAAACTGGACACATTTTAAAGCACTTGGGCTCTTCCTTTATGGGTTCAAATAGGCCACAACTTTATTGGTTACAGATGTGAGCAGTTTGGCTTAGGCATTGGGTGAAGCCAGGCTATATCTCGACTCTCACCTGTCTGCAGGAAGTCCATCTAAGGGTAAATGACCAATAAGGGGAGCCCTATGACTTACATCAAGTAGGGACACCCTGAAAGGTCCCCATTGGGGTCATGGCATGGCCCTAGCCCGTGCCCAGGCATTGGACAGGATCCACACCCCCGAATCCCTTTAACAGGATACCCTTATCGAGGAGGGGCAGGTGGAGGCTACAACCTCCCCTCCATCCAAACAAAGGCTTACTCAATGCCTAATCTCACAAAGTTGTGACAATTGCTGCAAGGCAGGCAAAAACCCAATGGCTGGTGCCAGTTTGCCGAGTGGAAAAAATTCCTACCCGGCCCCAACAATATGGCGGTTGACATTTGTCCATAGCAAGGTCATGTCAGAGCAAAGCATGAAAAGAGGGTGGGTGGCTTGGGAGGTCCGGCAAAAGGTCGAGAGAGGAGAGGTCCCCAACCACTCCGTGGTTAAATTTCCTGTGGCCATGCCCCCACTGGTGCTGATTGGCCAGCTGGGCCACACTGGGCATGACCCTACCCAGTGCCAGTGACGTGGCTGGGACAGCACCAGGGCGGCATCAACTCCCCGTCCCCACACTGGATCACTGCAGGGGCCTGGATGGCTGGACACAACACCGCCCACCAAAAAAGGTGAGTGGACTTATTGTTCACACCTGTTCTTTATACCAGCTTGCTTTCCCCCCACCTGATACCTGGAAATATACACGCTCACTCACACAAACAAACAAACAAACAAACAAACACACAGAGCATCTGACTAACAGAGGTCACACCTTTTGCATGCTGGAAATTACCTTGTAGCTAAGCCCTCTGCAGAAAGAAGCAAGAACCTCCCCACTTAAACTACACTCTGCTCTTAAACCAGTGCTTTAGACTTTTTAAAGTTTATGGTGTGAAAGATCTTGACACTAGGACCCCTTATATTCTGGGGAGTTCTTATTTTTTGAAGAAGAAATGTTCCAAAATGCAGAAAATGAGGCAGGTTTTAAGAAGTCTGAGAAATGTGGGGGAATGTATAGATAGAGATGTATTTCACTGAAAGGGAATTTAAAGTATATAGTTCAACAAAGCCCCTAAGGACCATCTTGTCTCATTTCTAAACAGTTCCTTAGAGGGGGAAGCACCTCTCATCCAAGGTCCTATTGATACCATCTGTAGAAAAAGATTTCGTAACCTGCTGAAGCAATTTTCTCTGTAGCCCAACCTGTTCTTCCCTGACAACCACCCTGAATTTTGTTTGTCACTGTTTTGGACTGTTCTTGCTTTGTTGTTGCTTTCATTTCAGGGTGAAAGTTCTTTAAGGTAATAAAAATTATGCAGTAGTGTTTTAAAAAAATAAACAAACAAGGCAGAGAAAGAGAGAGCTCAGAGCAGGTTGCTAGATCTCATGATGGTGACTGATTTGTCTTGTTCTATTAGTGCACTATGAAGCCTCCCCACCCCACCCAGTTTAACATAATCATTTTTTATGTTGGAAAGAAGTTATCCATGAAGACAGCTGGAGAGAGGCCAGTTGAGAACAGGCTGATGAGAGCATCACGTCCAGGTTTCCAGTGAGCAAGAGGGACATGCCTTATATCTCCCCTCCCATTCCATAGAGACAATGCAGAATTTTATCATTTGCATTCCTATCCACATTTCCGTGTCCCAAAGAAGTCAATTGAGGCTGCCCCTCCTTAGCTATCACCACTGAAATAAAGCCACGTAATTGGGGATATGGATCTATTGCTAACCTGCGGGATGAGGCATAATGCAAGCAAAACGCATTTGCATCAGCACAGTTTAAGATGGCAAAATAGACTACCTGAAGTCTTGTTCCCCTTGTAATTGCTGCCTGAAAGTCCTCGTGCATTTGCAATTTGTTCCTCATGGTGTTGATGATCTCGATTAAGCATGGTGGATTAGCTTGCAGGAAAGAGGGAGCTTTTGCAAGACCAGTGTTGCTTCAGCTGGCAAAGCTTATTTTGCTTATTCCCAAATGCCTTTTTTTAAAAAGGTGTCACTGAGAGAAAAAAATGCAACACTCCAGGTGAAGCTAGAGCAAATAAGCAAAGCATAAGTGGCAGACGTGACCTGAATGGATAGCTCAGTTGGTTAGAGTATGGTGCTGATAATGGCAAGGTTGCAGGTTTGATTCCCATAAGTGACAGCTGCATATTCCTGCATTGCAAGGGGTTGACGTTCCCCAGGATCCCTTACAATTATTTGATTCTATGAATGTGGTGTGAAAGGAAATCAAAACCAGTGGATCACCAAAAGAGAGTGTGCTTTGCAGATCCTCCTTTTGAACTCCCTCTTAGTCATCTGCGTATTGGAAGAATCCAAAGCAACAACTAACCCAACAACCCACTGCTGCCAAAATGGTCCTCTTCCATAAAGAGCTCTTAATTTGTGCTTGTTCCCCTCCAGAAAATGATTCTGGGGCTGAACCTCAGACTGGACGTAGTAGTGGTGAAGTCAACAATGCCTTGTATGAAGTATGTCTTGCTAACCAGACAGGCAACTCCACACATCCAGGGCCCCCCAAAAGGGTACATAAATGACTTAAGGAATTCATAACAATAAAATTAACAAATTATGAATTAGTAATAATAAAGTCCTGGCTGAAGAGGGCTGGCTGTAAGGCAGGCCTGATCCACAACAAGCAGGATCTCTTTAGGGATCCATCCCTGGTTGCAAAATGAGATGCAAATTATCAGAGGGAGGTGAGAGTCTCAAGGGAGCTAGCTTGGAAGGGCTTGTAATTTTTTATTTTTTTATTTTTACAGATTTCTGTCCTTTGAATTTGAGGTGTGTGTGTGTGTGTGTGTTGTCACACTGTTTTACCTTTTGTTTTACAACATTCCCTGTTCTGGATGATATGGCAATTTAGAGGCTTTTTGAGGCGGAGGTGCTGGTTTAAAACACTAATAGTGACAAGTTAATGTTAATTGACTTCAAAAAGGAGGTTTATGTAGACGACTTTGCTTTGTAAATGTCCCTGAAAATGGAACAGTAGAACTTAAAAAAAATAAAAATAAAATATTGTTTTTCTCCATTTGGAATGATTTATTTTCCTTTGCCAGATGTTTCATTTGTACAAAAAATCACTTTTGCTTCCACATAAACCTGTGCTTGGATGTTGCACATGGCATCCCATGTGCATACAATTTAGTTTTCCTTCGTATGCAGTGAGGACTTGGCAGGAATTCTCTTACAGGTGACGTTGTGTTATAATGTTTTAATATATCTTTTTTTCTTTCTTGGCCAAAGTGGCAGAGGTGCTTTCTTTGTCGGGAGGGGGCAGTGAGGCCGTACCCTGTTGGTGAACAAAGGGGGAGAGCAGAAGTGTGGCGATCACACAGGGTCCCCGGACGTTTCACCGTCTATTGATCCCTGTGCCACCATTTTATTTATCACTGCCACCACCTAGGCCCTACCTGGTACAATACTGAGTCCAGTCAGGGTTAAATTGGAACATAAACTTCTGTTTATTTATTGCAGTTTAACAAGCGTGTGGTTTCATAAACGGTATCGGTCAATTACAATCATGGGTTGCCTATCCAGTCCTATAACTTCCACTAGCTGCTCTCACTCACTAAACCACCTCTCAGATATTTACTTATCTTCCTAGCCCCTAACTGTTCCTGACTCAGCTTATTTCACTACACTAACTCAACCTACCCACAACTCTATCCCAATGCACTCCCACTCCAACCAACCACCCAACTCCTAACAAACTCCTCTCCCAGAGCTGGTTTTATAGTCCCACTGACTCCACCCCCCTGGGTCCTGATTGGGTAACCTGTTTAACTATTTCTCCTCCGACACTCTCACATGTTAACATCACAAGAAGTAAAAGCAGAAAATCCATGGGCTGTAGAGTCCCATTCTGTAGCTTCCCTCTCCAGTGCAATCTTGTTGCTAATCTTCTCTGCATCTAAATGTTAGACCCAGTCAAGAAAATAATAATGGGTATAATTTGACACTAGGCCTACTCAGATTAGAACAACTGAAATGAATGAGCATGAGAAGTTAGAATAGCTCAGTTGGTTAGAGCGTGGTGCTGAGAACACCAAGGTCGCAGGTTTGATCCCTGTATGGGACAGCTGCATTGCAGGGGTTTGAACTAGATGATCCTCAGGATTACTTCCAACTCTATAAATGCACCCACCCACACCCCTGTTGATTTCAATCCATCTACTCTGAGTTCATGCTAGTTGCATGCCACCAATTGTCATTATTTTGGAACAAAAGTTGCCAACTTCCACCAGCTCCTGGAGTTGACCCTTTTGACAGCATCTTCATCTGCAGGTGCATTACACACAGGAACACAGGAAGCTGTCATAGTGAGTCAGACCAGTACTCTATCTGGCTCAATGTTCCTGCCACTGACTGCCAGCAGCTCTGAAGGGTTTCAGACTGCAGTCTCTTCTAGCCCTGCATGGAGATGCCAGCAATTGGCCCTGGAACCTTTTGCAGGCAAAGCAGCTGGTCTACCACCAAACTCTTCCCTAAATATAATATAATATTACATTACGAGCAGGAGGCCACATCTATTCCCATGCTATGTAGAAAGTGGTGTTTTGCTTTGTTGATTTCTTCAGCTCAAGCTGCCTGAAGGACACAGGAACAGATAGATAATTTAACAAATTCTTGGAAGATATATAACTGTAAATGGCGACTGGTCACAATGGCTGCATCACCTCCAGGATCAGTTCTGGTTACTAGTCACTGGATCATGAGCAGGAGAGGGCTATTGTGCTCATTTCCTGCTTATGGGCATCCCAGAAAAAGCATATGCTTAATCACTATGAGAACTGAATGCTGGGCTTCATAGATGTTTGCCCTGATCTCCTTATGTACTTAATGGCGCCAAACATTAAAAATAAGAACCACCTGTAGCCCTTGGAAATGATTTGCTTGTTTTGTAAAGTTCAGGGCTCATCCTAAAAATAAAAGGTTTCAAATATTGTATTTTATTGTGGTTCGAGGATCCGATCCCCACTTTGTGGAATAAAGACACACAGACACAGTGTATAAGGTTAATGGGCAAGAAAAGGCCACAACTTTATTGATTACAGCAAGTGAGAAGGTATTGGCTTAGGCATTGGACCACGACAGATTGACTCCACCCACTCGGAGAGGGGTGAGCCTAAAGGGGGTTTATTCACCAGTAGGTGGAGCCTGTTGATGCTAATACAACTATAAGCTCTCCCCTGATGTCACCGAGGGTCGTGCCATGGCCCCCCGCCACACAGGCATCGGACAGGAAGGTGAAAAGTGAGGCAGAATGGCTGGCGCAGCGGTATCTTAAAACGCAAACCACGCCCCCTACAAGCCGCCTGGTTGGGAGCTTACCTGTGGGTGTGGTGCGCCAGCCAGGTGAGTGGGGCAGGGGGCATAACGCCCCCTGCATGACGCAGAAATTGCATCCCGCCCACAAAACCTCCCCTCCGTGAGGAGGAGAGGCTTTATCAAAGGCAAGGAAACACTAGAAGGGGGGGGGGAGTTTGTGAAGTGAATGACCAATATTACAACCTCCTTGAATATCATCTCATAAGAGGAAGATAGGGGTTGATTCCTGTCTGCTTCTTTATGTGTTCCTTGGTTTTTTTTTAAAAAAAAATATTGTTTTGAAACTTTGCCTATAATGAACTGACGGGTCAGAGCTGTTTCACGGAGAGGGGCTTGAGAGAAGATGGCTATAAATTCTCCTCATTTATCCTACACATGTCGGCTTATTGGCTCTTCCCCATCCATTCCGCTTGCTGCATCCATTACCGTTATTACTGTGATTAAAAGGCAATCAAAGGAAATCTTCTCCTATTCCTAAAATGGCTGCCAATGCTTTCCTTCCAGCTCTCAGGGATGCAAGCAAAGGGTGTTTCAGGCAGCAGCTGCTGACGTGTTTCAGTTTCCAGGGAGGAAGTAACAAAGGAAATGCAGAGTTTCGCCTGGTCTGGCACACAAGCCCTACTCCTGAGGAGAAGGCTGTCAATGGCTGCTGGCCATGATGGATATAGCCTGCTTGCACAGTCAGAGGCAGTTATGCTTCTGAATGCCAGTTGCTGGAAGCCACAAGAGGCAAAGGTGCTCTTGTGCTCAGGTTCTGCTTGCTGGTTTTCCGCAGGCATCTGGCTGGCCACTGTGAGAACAGGATGCTGGACTCGATGGGCCATTGGCCTGATCCAGCAGCCAGGTTCTTCTTATGTTCAGGGCACCACTGAAATTTGAAAGCCCAAAGTCTGCCACTGGCCATAGCTCTTCCCTTGTGATGGCTGCCTTAGAACAATCTTGTCCCTACTGGGCTCTTAGCTCACTTCAGCTCCTGGCAAGACAGTTGTGTGTGTCTGTTGCCATGTTCAGAATTCAGCATTCTGAGCCTGGAGGGGTGGGGTGAACTGGGAAACGTATTTTCTTCAAAAGGGTTTGCTTTTTTAAAAAATTGTCCCGTGAGACTTCTAATGCCAGATAACCCCAAGATATTCTCTGAAGGCTCAAAAGATTGCTGAACATATATTTGTAACAGTTTTGCCAAAGTTTGGATTGATTGGGGTTGGAACGGGGATGTTTCTGCCTGGAAATTCTCAGCTGCATGAAAAACCAAGCACCATTACTCTGGAAATCATTTCTGAAACTCAGAATATGAAATTAAACACACGAGTGCATGCAGGTCAGGAAGAGGCCCTGGGAATCAACATTTTCTAGGTCACCAGAGAGTTCTGTAGGGATAACAGCCACCCTGGGAATTGCATATCTCAATGCCTCGTACACCTGGGACGCCATCAGCACGTTCAGCCCTGGGACATTTATTTCCCAGGGTAAGTGACATCCCTGCTGAGTACTTGGTTGTCCTGGAAAACTATTCTCAGGTCTCCAGTTCCTGGCACCCTGTCATTTCAGTATTACATATACCTGGGAGGACTGGGCGTCTCGTAGAGATGTCTCCTGATCACTCTAGCTGTTGCCCCAGCACTACCAAGTAAATTTTGGGTCAAGAGCAGAGAGCAAGGCTCAAGGGTTTATGAATGGGAGGATGGGGGTAGGGACGTAATTGGGTCATTGAGAATAAGACAACAGTTCCTAATTCCAAAATTCCATTGAACTTGGTTGAGAAAGGAAAGTATTTTCCAAAGGAGGGAATGGAAGGAGGAAGGAACTCACATTATCCAAGCTCAGTTCCTAATTGTGTCAAGTCAGTCACTGAATACAGTCGTACCTTGGCTCCCAAATGCCGCAAACCTAGAAGTGAGTGTTCCAGTTTGAGAATGTTCTTTGGAACCCAAAAATCCGACAGGGCTTCTGATTGTACTTGACATCCCATGGTAGTCAGTTCGTGCAACCATTGCTGGTGTCAGGTTTCAGTGGGTCTTGGGTGTGGTGCCCTGAGGGCCCCCTCAATGAAGTCCCCACTTACCCCTTCCCTCCGTCCAAGTGAGCAGAGGACGCATGCGAAGGATGCTGCCACCTCTCCTCATAGCTTGTTATTGCTTGAGAGCTCAGGGAGGGCAGGCAAATAGGCAGTGGCAGCACAGCAAGGTGCAGCAGCAGCAGAGCCCTGAAGAAATGTGGGTCTTGGCAGGTGCCCAGCAATGCCAACCTCCAACACCGGCCTTCATGAGTTACCCAGCCTAATCCATAAAAGCAGCAGGAACTAGGGTGCACACACAGATGTGCCCAGCAGGGGTCATTGTTCCACTGCAATTCATCTGTGCCATTCGGTCTGTGCTGCTGTTCGTCTGTCTTTGCTATGGGGGGGGGTGTTCAGCAGCCCCACCTGCCAACACATCTGCTTGGATAGTCAAGAAAGTGTGGTGAGAATTTAGTTGCCCTGGCTTATGGGAAGCTGGACGTGGAAGAGGATACACCGATTCAGAATCAGGTCTTTGCTTATGGCAAGGTGGAATTCAGGTTTCGGGAGTATAGGAATTCGATGCATTACAACTCCAGGCATTTACCTCTGGCTCACGGGATGGATTGGATTGATTGATTATATTTCCCTTCTGCTTTTCATTCAAATGGATCCCAAAGTGGCTGACAAACAATAAAGAACAAT